AAACATTTTTACTAGAGTCTTGCTGGACTACTTACTTCTAAATTCAGTCAATACATAAATTTTAGGGAAAGTATTTCAAAAAAAAAAAAAAAAGAAAGAAAGAAATGTATATAATAAACAGAAAAAAATAAAGTTTTTTCTTCAAATACAGGATTTATTTTCATCGAATGATATGAAAATTATCATACTTTCGCTACTCGAGAAATATTTATTTTCATACCATTTGATGAGACTAAATTATGTTCGACGTTAATGCTCTAATTATCCAATCGCATCTTTTCGGCCTTTTCCGCAAGTCTTCGGATAATATTAATATAACTGATAATAGCGACTATTTATCTTACAGCAAAACAAAATAATTTATGGCAATATGTATGAGATATACTTAATAGAATTTTTTTTTCATGTCGAACTTGAAAAATAACGACTCCAAAGAGGTCACGTGGTCCCGAAAAACAGAACATGGTAATGAATTATTAATCACGTTGTCAGGGAATGTTTTATGTCGTATTTTTTGTCCTGTCTTATGTGGTATAAGTAGTTGTTTCACCCATGTTTAATATTGTTCTTATCTGAAGGTGCTGTCGTTTTGTTTCGTTGTTGTTGTTGTTTTTTGATGTTGTTTTTTTTAAAATCGACCAATGTTTGTACATTAAAGCTGCATTTATAAATTTCATTAAAAAAAGAAATAGCTACATTTCTTTGATTATAAATATGTTTCATATCGACTCCCGTTCTTATTTTGGTGTCCAGACAACCAAAACGAGTTTTATAAGCCTTAAATTCTGCAGTCTCATAGTGTCGAAATCGGAAGTACAAATTTCTGTTTGCATGAGAAACTCCGTCTTTCGGTCATCCGTACATCAACAGAAAATCGACAAACATTTTAAGTACATCACGATAGAAAATCTTCAAGGAGTGGGGGGAACATATAAAATAAACGTTAATCATCTGCCGGCGTTTTTGGCTTTTTCTCGATTTAAGTCAATACACGGAAACACATACATCATTCTTGCTTACGTCACTAGGTCTGGAAATATCTCAAGATTCACAGAATTGCCTTAATTGTGCTTTGCATTTTAATCAAAAGCTGGATAGACCAATACATGTATTATGAGTACACTTTTTTTCTTTCGGGCAAGTGTTTTGTTAGGAAAAAAGCTTTAAGTTTTGGTTTTATGAATTATTTTCTTTGCTTTATTTTCACGTTTCGAGACTAATTACACACTGAGTGAATCTTAAAAATGACTTATATTTCATGAAGGTCTTTCTTCTTATTCCGCTTCACTATTAGGACTACGGAAGACAAGTGGGCACATTTCCATAAAGAACCCCCAAAACGAGAAAAATAAATGGTTGCATCATAGATTTGATTGAATCTGTTCACGGACGGTACTGGAAAGTGCAAGTTACCATTCACACCCCCTAACACCGGTTTAGGCTGAACATAAAAAGGTGACCATTGACTGGAATATATTTTTTCTCTTTTTCTTTCTCTTTCCCTTACCCCAATATAGCTAATGAAAATGTCAGTATTAGTTCTAGAATGAACTTTATTTACCATATTCAATCTTCCAGGAAATAATAAAACTGCCAGTTAAAGTAGTAAAGTTTTACTTTGGAATTAGGATGCAAATGAACAACAAACATGTACATGTTTTGAATATTCTATGATTTTATTTTTTTAACAATTATTTTCCTCAGTGGTGTTTTACACGTATATAAGTAAATATGACGTAAATATGACCATCAAAGAAGCCATAGCTAGTCTTGCTACAGTATACTGAATTGACACTGTATAAACATTAATCAACATTTTTAACAATAATTATATCATATTAATATACAACAGATATTTATAGAAAACAGTAACATTACACAATAAATATATGCACGATTCAAATTCATGCGCGTCCATTGTTGTGAACACAAGTTTTTTTTTAAAAAGTTCCTCGGATTCAAAAAACACCACGAGGCGGTGGGGTCATTTATAATATCAAAGTACAAAAAGTATCGCAGGGTTAAAAAATCATTTAATTAAACTACTGTCCATAAATCCATAAAACTACATTTTAATCTTAAAAAGTTCGTTAAAAGTATCAAAGTACAAGAAGTAACATCATGGCTCCATATCAAACTACATTTTAATCTAAAATAGTTTTCTTTTTTTCTGTGATCGAGTAAGCGTTTGCATCATAAACATATGTATATAAGTCAATACGCAGTTCCTTCCATTGACAAGGTTGAAAATATCAAATACAATGTATCAAAGACACAACAGATTATTGAAGATTTTCACAGATATTGGATTCCGTGAACTGCGTAAGATAGCATCATCATAATAAGAAAATATTCAACCCGTATAACGCCTACATTGTCATGGTAACCATTTCAATCGTGAATGCAAACGCATCTTCTCGGACCTTTCCGTCAAACTTCGGTTATTACGAATAATAATTGTCGTGAATCCATTGAATCGTTGATTTAAAGATATGCTTAAATAATGGGGTCAACAGTTTTATTGTTTCTGTTTACTAAATATCAACTGATGCACGACTTATCTGAATGTCCATCAGAACATCTTGGCTATTATTCAAAATAACTTATCCGAAGTTTACCGGAAAGTGCCGAGAAGATGTGATTGCCAGTATGACTGTCCGTATTTTATATTAAATGTAAGTACATGCCATGGTTGGTTCTAAAACGTCATACAGTGCAGAAAAAATAGAAACGGGAGAATCCTTGTTTTAAGTTAATCTTCAGTTTATTGGCAGACAATGTACACGTCATTCTATATCAGACGCAGCGTTCATTTTACTGTTGAAACGCGTCACCTTTTTATATATGTAACAAAACATTTCTTTATTAATTAATACGCGCGCAGAACTAATGCGCGTCACGTTTCATATAATTATATACATGTACACAGACACACACGCCCTATTGTAACAAAACCGTTTGTGTCATCACGGACTTTAAAGTCAGCGATGCCATGCAGTAACTATACTATATGACCTATATCAAGTATATTTTACAATATTTTCTTTTTTTTCTGGACACCATGTAAATCAATCCATACCTATTCTTATATAAAGTAATCGGCAGTTATATTTTCTATTTCCAACCCTTTTTTCAAAACTTGTATCTCTGACAAACAAAACTCTCAAACTTATAATCAAATAACCCGTTAAAAAATATAAACAATTTAAAATTCAAAAACATCGAAATGTTTCCTTTTCGCGAACACAAATTGTATATTCCGAAAGGAGCGAAAAGAAAATCCGTGTTGTGTTTAAATCATTTTGTCAAAATTTATACAATAAATTATAAGTTGAAGAAATTTTTTTATTGAACATAACTAGTAATCTACAGTTCTGGCTTCCAAAACTTTATACGCCGATTTTTTTTTATTTCACGTCATGTCAAAAGTATATCAACGGGTACGCTGAAGATCTTAATCTAGCTAATCTATACAAAGCAACAGATTTAATGTCATTGAAGACCAAATGAACATATATCAACTTTTATCTATAAAAAAATCATTTATTAACTCACATTTACATTACCTTCAATAACAATCGTTATATCAACGTATATGGGGAAATGTGAACTTTTTTTAGCCGTAAAGATTATACCCATTTGTCGCGTTTCTTTCTGTTGTATGATTATAAAAATAAGAAAATTATCATTCTTTTTTTTTCTCAAAATGAAAATTGATAATTTAGCGAAATATTCTTAAATCTGAAATGTAAATAACTTATTTTACCTTAGAAACATGATATTTAATGTGTGCGTAACAAAAAAATCTAAGACGGTGGATGAAAACTAAATGATGATCGGAATTTTTAACTTGAATTTAACTTTTTGTCATATTTTTGTTTCTTTATAATATGAGGTTTAAAATTATTTTGTCTCTCCCATTCTTTAAAGTAAAAAATAATGTCTTCAGATGACATAATTATTATGTTAATGTAACACAATTAGGTCCTATCTAAAATAGGATAAAACAAAGTTCATAAATACATTCACTGATTAAACATATTTCCCTCAAGAAGAGGTGTACGAAATAACTAATAATCTCATATAATGTAACAAGGACAGTGTGGAATGAAGTTTAAATGTAATATAAATCAAGCAAACATTTATTTAAAAAAGTATTTGTTCTATTCTGTTCTGGTCTATCTAAAGAGAATGAGTCAGTATTTTACTTACTGACAGAACGCGAAATTTCCAAGTGCTATCGATTATGTACGTTTCACCTACAGGGAAAACAATCAATCGATAACCGTATCGCACCGTCTCATGAATGTTTCATTTATCAATCGATCTTTCCTTTATATTTTCAGTAGTTGCTTGTCATTAGGTTCCATTCTAACAATACCAGACGATAAATATTAAACGCGCGTGGATCAATGGCAGACAATATAATGACATATTTTCCTTGGTTCAACAGTGCTTTTAACAATTCGCGAATATGTTTTAGTACTCTACCGCCCTAAAAGAGACATACGTTCAAATTAATGTTTTAATACTTTACAGCTCTACGTATATATAATATTCTATCACAAATTATAACTAGTATGAATCCTGAATATTTGAAAAAAATATAAATAAATGAAAATAAAAATAATAACCGAATGTTTCTTTTACAACATGAAAGTATTTTAATACCTTAATTATGGACCATCAACAAATATTTTAATGTGTATACAACTATACATCTGACCCAATAACAGTTATTGTAAAAAAGTTGATGTGAAGTACAAAATTTCCGTTTATATCATATGTAATATAAAATTATTTACGTTTGTTAAATAAACTCTACGGTGCTATAATTAACAATTTAAGTACATAACCCATTCACACAGTATACATATTTCAATAGAGACATGTGTGTCTGTGTTTCAAACATTCATGATACTGCTTGACTTTTCACACGCGACCCGAAAACTAATGACAACATTTGGGTAACATAAATTAAAGCAAGATTTTTTTGCCAAAACAGAACTACCTACAGTAGAAAAAGATGATGTAAAATCATAAATGACAGTTTTATCACGACAATTGTACACATATTGGCACGAAGCAATGGGTGAAAATCACGTGCATGACCTTTGAACCTTTCGTTACAACATGCACGGGTAACTATTGTATGTTAAATAATGCTTACGGTCACTATTTTAGTCTAATGTCATGATTTCCACCGGTATAATCCTGCAGATTATCAAATTGTTCGATTCTTAAGTCTATTTCTCCAACTTCCGGTTATGAGGCTGTTCCAATAATGGCAACTTCTCCCACAGGTAAAAGCAACTCCTTTAAAATTGTTTTATGTTGGCTAGCATATCAGGGGAGAATAACTTTTCAATTCTGTGAAGACTTCAGTGAAAAAGCTTGGATCGCTGTTTATTTTAAGCATATTTCCGCTCTGTGTATTTATAATGTGTAAACATCTATCCCAAAACTTGTCTCTACTGTCTTCGACTAAGAACGGTTTGAGGGGATAGCTTATCTCGTTTCCCATGTAACTGTAGGATAGATACAAACATGTTAAAACAGTCGCCTGCAACTCATTCTCGTCATCCATATCAACAGGGACCATCTCTCGAACTAACATGTATACAAAAACAACATTTGCTGGATTGACAAATGCAATATCTTGCCAGCCCTGTAACAGCAGGGAGCGGTCAACTGTGCGTAGCCAGACGATGGCGTCCATACCTTCAAAATGCTTCAATTTTTTACAACGCCTGTACAAAAACTCACCCAAGCTTTTCAATAACTCTGACGTTGACGCTTGGATGACGGTTTTCCGGGGACTTGTGCTTTTGTCGACTTTCTTTACCAATTGTATTTCCGGTTTACCGACTCCATTCAAAGCTTTGATATTATTGTTTATATTGTTGTTGATATTTACATCATTGTTGTTGAGTCGGAGATTTTGAAGCTGGGATTCTGGTGCTTTTAGGTTGTAGCATGACACCGATTTCTGTATATTTTTGTTGATATTTATATTTTCAATGTTACAATTGTTGTCCACTTTTCCGGGTAAACAGCCGACGGCGGAGTGTTTGAAAATGTTCTTATCCTTCTTCTTACTTCCATTTACTGTGAATTTTTTCCAACTTAATCCGCTCAGAAATATCGTATGACGTTTGAAACTTTTGTCCTTCACATCTTTACTTTGGTGCGTCGGATTTTTTGTGTTGTTTAGAATTTCGTAATTAAAATTGTTCAAATTAATCTCCTCGTACGCCGGTTTCCTTGGTCTCGGTGAAAATGATAACACGGTACCCATTTTGAACACTGAAATATCGTTATATAAAATTTTAACAAGAAAAAAAATATAAAGATTTATATTACTAAGTAAATATGTTCCCCGACCACCTTACTCATTTCCTTCTAAAAATGGCGGACTGTAATCTTATCCTGGTTTGTCAATTCTCCACCGCAGACTTATTGATCCCGTTTATAAATTCCAACGTCTTAAAGGCAGTTCTGCAAATCCCTGGCACTAATTTTATCGAATTTCCTTTCAGAGTATATCAAAATTTTCCACACAATTTTTCTATTAGAATTGAACCGTGGACGTACAAATCTTTTATGTGTATTAAACCAACATTTTTTTTTGCTTATAACACTGTGGTCAAACATTAAGCGATTTATCTCTATTGAAGGACCAATATCGATCTTAGCTCCTTCAATGCTTGAAGCACGAGTGCCGTGTTTTCTGACAGGGAATCGATATTTTATTCCAATACAGAAGCATCAACATACGGGTGGTCAGTGACGTCATATCTATGGAGACATTAATAATCCAATGGAAGAAGGGGCGATCAATATTTTTGATACGATTTGCTATCTAATTTCAATAATTTTCAACCAGATGTGTTATTGTAGAATTACCGTTATACTAAATATGAATTTTCGAGATGTAAAGTGTCGGCTGCAACATCTTACTTCCGGTTTGAGTAAAAAAGTAGTCCGGCTGAGTTTGAAGAGTATTTATCATTGAATTCGCTAACTGAACCAGCTAGTAGGCCTTGTTATATCATATGAAGGAACATGGCCGTTAGTCATGTGAAGCTCGAATACATGATACGTTTCTGTGAATTTTTTATGCCATTGATTTGAACCCTCTACTGTTGTTTTTTTTTTGTGTTAAGGTTTTCCTCAGCTATCATGGCAAGAAGTGTAAGTAAGATTAATTTTGACGAATTACTTGGCGAGTCCCCTCCCTCCGCGGAGAATAAGGGAAGTCTGACTGAAATTTATTTACATTTTATTACTGTTTGCAAAAAGTAAAACTATGTTTTCAGGTAGCATCATTTAAATAGACTAACCTTTCACTTTCTCACTTATTCCAAAAAAAAGTACCTGATCTAAATTGGATTTCTAGGAGTAGATTTCTAAATGCCATATACAGACTTTATTTTGGTCGCTGATTTACACCTTGTATTTTCGTTTTGTTTAAAAAAAATCTTTGTTTTTGCCTTATTGCATTCATGAAACGAAAAAAAAAAGCAAAAGGCCCATACTTTTTTTACCAGCGGGTTTCATTTTCAGAGTAAAGGGAATTATCAGCGGTAGGTTGGGGTTATATCATTGGTTGTTAAAATTTGTTTATGGCTGGTAGATATATAGATAGATAGTTTTATTTCCTCCAGAATTGAAGAACATGAATCTTATTGTTATATTTGATAACAAAACAGGAAAAAACGGTAATTTGTATTGTGTTGTGTGGCGGCTGTAAAATATCACCCAATACATAAAATAAGTGATATTGTATTCGATCTTTCATCACATTTTAGTTGTGTTTGGGTTATCTTTGTTTTCTTGTTCATGATACGCCCATTTTTGTTTTAAACTATGAAAAGTTTCATGGAATGGCATAAAGTTTAAGGTGTCACATTGAAGGTTCCATGATCATCGTCATGAACGGAAAGCCTGTATTTGATTTTAGTACAGTATATTTAAAGTTTTTGTATAAAGGGTATACAAAAAGAGGAAATTTCCAAAAGATTTCTTACATAAAAATTCGTTTCAGAAACCATACAAAATCTATCTAGAAATAAAGAAATATTCAGGTAGAGCATATACCCGGACCTCCCTACAAAGGGCCTGGCTACAGCCTGAAGATAAAATTACTATACATGTAACAGTAACGAAACCGCCCCCAGTCCCTGCCCCTGCCCCACACCGACCTTATTTTCCATCAATCAAATTGAAAGATTTTGAAAAGGTATAAGCTAATTTAGTCTCTCGTGTTGTTACTTAAGACGTGTGAACTTTTCTACTTCGTCTCCATTAAAATTGATATCATTTATCACTCATGAAAGATTCAATAATTTCAAATTTCCATGGTAACTTGGCGCTTGACATAACAGTTTTTTTATGAAACAGCCCCCCTTCCTACAAAGATTAATTGATACAAAAGCAGAGACGCGGTTCCATGTTTCCAAGAAATCAATACCAAAAACAGCAGACGATAAACAGTAAAGCCCGCAGAAATCGATGGCGTTCCCGGTGACTCATGTATAGCTATGCAGAAAGTCGCTAATAACGTATCTAAATGGAGACAAATGTAAATTAAAGCGATTGTTTCTGTATTCCGTAAATTTTGTGCGTTGTTTTTATTGCAAAGGTGATGTGAGCTTTAAAATGACAAATATATATATGATTCACTTATTATTTTATACATGTGTGCTGTTTATTGATGTTTATTGTTTACTGTACATACCTCAAATGGTACGAACAAAAAAATGTTATTTTCCTTCTCAGTGAAACAGTTGGGCATGAGGTCCGTTTGTTTGTTTGGTTGGTTTTATGGCTGCAATCCCATCTTATGTCACTACCATTAAAGACAACCCCTCAGCCACAAGGAGCATAATTTATAATAACTGTTCTTTGAGTATGTGTTATATGTAAAAAAAATCAGATAAATGGAAAATACCAAAATCGCTCGAAAAGAAAAAAAAAACATTAAAAAAAAACTAAAATGTGTGTGGCTGTGGTTGCGAAAGCCCCAGTAGGCTGGAGTGATTGATTAAAAAACATTTTAACGGAAAACCTTGCATGCAAGAAAAGAAGATACCTATTTGCATTCTAACGTGCTAATACATGTATAGAAAGAATATTAAAAAAAAAGTTGAACCACATTAGCGGGGGTGACTTTAATGAAGATAATCGATTTATTGACGTCATGTTTCACGTAATTTGACGTAAAAGCATTATTTTCTTTTTCTTATGCCATACATAAATCGATAAAAAATAGTTTTAAGCTCGAATGCGAAACAAGTTCTTGCAACTTATATTAATCACTTTCGAGTCCGCTTCCTGGAACTAACCAATACTGATGTGATACAAAGAAACATGGGCGGTCCCGACCGCCAAGTAGGATTCGAACCCATGATCCCTGGGTTGAGCGGCAGACAGTATGCATCCACTCCCCTTGTAATGAATATGCACTCTAAAGCGCAGTATATCTTATAGCGGAAGAGTGTCAAAGCAGATATTTGGGCATGGTATATAATCAGATATTTGAGTAATATAAAAAGACATTTTGGCATAAAGCATGAGTAAATATTGATACTGATCAATGAAGACAATAAAATAGGTTAGAATGTCTACTATTTCGTTTTACCAGACAAAAATACCAACCGGAATATCTCGGCTATAATCAACAGTTTCTTTCCGAAGTTTGACGGAAAGGGCCGCGAAGAAGCGATTGGCAAAAATACATGTCTAGTACCCTTGTTCCGTGCTAACCAATAACTAATGTTGGAAACGGAACCTGTTTGGTACACATTTCATATATTTCAGTACCTTAATTCAGAAACACGAAACATCAGCACGTGTAAGGGTAAATGGAGACATACAAATTTACAATTGTTTTGAGAAAAAAAAAAGACCACCGAAACGACAACATTACCAATAAGGATTGTACATGTAAAAGCTTCAAGTATAAAGTATTACCCCCTCATACAGGAACATATTAAATTTTGATCACGCCACAATGCCACCTGACAACATGACATAACATTGGAAACATTGAATTTATTTCATACAAAGTCTGATGAACGGCAAACAAAAATAACATATGAGATCATATCACAAAAGAGAGCACAACACCAGTTACTCAACATTAACGCAAAGTCATTAGCAAAGTAACGATTTTCGCGCATTAAATACTATTATTATCGTCTGCAACAAAAACGTGACTTTATTTCTAAAATAAGGAGACAGATTTGTCACAATTATATTTAATTACGTACAACATTATGATCTGTTGCTAATTGAATATTTGTCAGGTTCATTCAGTACATGTGACATTACGTGTTTCCGTCCGTTCATGTTTCGTCACAGATCTATATTTATCCTGGTTTATATACTGTGAACATGAAAAAACCTTGAATAATATTAACTAAATCACAGACTTTTAAAGCTGCATGCCTCCAGATGAGTCAAAATATTTCAATAAAATCAAACTTTAGAAATTTATATGTACTAAGAATTTAGGAAAAGTAAAATGATTCAAGATTCAAGTAATATCTTACCTCTTATGTGCGGTTAATGACTTGATTTTCCGGTATTTACAACTATATTTCTACTGCGTTACTAACGCAGTAAGGTCTATTTATGCATGTTTTGACCACTTTTTGGTAATTTACGTGGGTTGTAAGTGCCATTGATAATGTGTAAATTGCTTCCTTTCGGTTATTTCACAATATTATACATTCAAATACATTTTCCAAATTTTCATGAAAATTAGCATGAATCTGGAGGCGTGCTGCTTTAATAATAAAGTCCGTGACTTAGTGTACAGTACTATGACAAAGCAATGGGGGACTTCCGGTTTCAAATTCCATCTTAATTACATTGTTACTGTAAAACAGGTTTGAATATTGGTTTCAACCTAAGATCAGCATACCTGAACAGATATAAGTAACGGGGAAAATTGATTTTCACGGGAGAAATTGATTTATTCGATACAATTTGACTTATAGGGGGCAAATTGGTTCGACAGATTTATTTATAGTAGGCAAATTGTTGTATACGGGGCAAATTATTTCATACGGAGAAACTCTATTTATAAGGCTCTGGGGCATATCGATTTACACGGGGAAATTGTTTTATTCGTGACAAATTTACTAATATGGGGCAAATTGCTTTGTGACTGATTTATTTATACAGGGCACATTGTTTTATATGGGGCAATTTTTTTAATATGGCGAAAATCTATTTATACAGGCCCTGGGGCATATTGATTTACAAGTGGAAATTGATTTATTCGTGACAAATTGACTTATACGGGGCAAATTTATTTGTGACAAATTTATAAATACAGGGCAAATTGTTTTATATGGGGCAAATTTATTTATAAGGCGATATTTATTTATACAGGCCCTGGGGCATATTGATTTACACGGTGAAATTTATTCATTCCTGAAAATTGATTTATACGGGGCGAATTGATTTGTCACAAGTCTATTTATATTGGGCAAATTGTTTAATACGGGGTAACATTTATTTATACAGGCTCTGGGGCATAGTGATTTAGACGGGGAAATCGATATATTCGAGTCAAATTGACTTATACGGGGCTGGTTGATTTATTTGCCAAAATTCTATATATACTAGACAAATTGTTCTATACATACGGGCAAATTATCTTTTACAGGGGCATATTGATTCTCACAAGGATATTGATTTATTCAGGGAAGGGGGGGGGGACCAAATTGATTTATACTGAACAAATTAATTCATACGGGGTAAATTGTTAAAATTCATCACGTTGGGAAAAATATACTAGAGGCAAAACTTTTGCCACATAATTTCACAGCAAATTATTGTTACATTCACATAAAAAATACATAATAAGTACATATTAAGGTATAACAATTTTAATGCCTTGTATTTTCAAAGGTGATCTTGCACACTAAATAATAAATATTATTCTTAGCTAATTAACAATTAAATAATACTTAACAAATACATAAAATATCAATTGCAATACATTGAGTATACATAAAACATAATGCACTAATATTTAAAGCCTTACACATAACCTAGCTCTCTCCTATTGGTAAAAACAGTTTCAGACATTAAACATGGTTCCAATACAAAAATAATAATTAATTGATATAATTTCAGACACAAGAATAAAATCATCAATTGCTATGTCGCAAAACCATAGCTTCCTGACATTTTTTTCTTTTGATTGAGATTTATGTTGCAGTTTAGGTCATATGGCCACTTTCCAGCTTTTCTGGTGGAGGGAGACCTCAGGTGCCACTTTGTGCATTGTTTCAGTCACAAATGGACACCCGAGTAGAACCAATGACATTCTGTAAGCTAGCTGGATAGCTTTTCACACAAGAAATATTTCGAAGCATCTTTTGTGGGATTCAAACCTACATGTATAGCAGTAACAGGTAAAGAGGTCATACACTGTCAACACCACTGGTATTGTGTGTATGTAACAGTGACTTTCATTTAAAGATTTTTTTTTGCAACATTTTTAATTTGTAACATTTAATGCCTTTTGAAAGGGGAAATTAAGTCATATCAAACCATAAGAAAACTGGGAAAATTTCACAAACCCATCAAAACAGTCACTTCCTAAAGAAAGTGCACTAATATAAAGGGTTTTTTATTTAATTTAAAATTCATAAATGTCTAAAAATATGAGCTGGATTGAAAAAAGCTTCACAAATTTTCGGGAAGTTTCAAGTTTAGATAAATTGTGAATGTTTGACATTTTTTGTCAATTGAAAGAGGTTTATATCATTTTGGTTTCTATTTTATGCAAAAACTAACATTGTTTTACATGTATAAATAATATGTAAAACAAAACATTAAAAATTGCCGTCTCAAATGCAATGTGGAGCAAATAAAACATATTTACAAAATATTCCTTATCAAATATCACAGTGGAATGCCTGGACGCTGTACATGCCATAAGGCAACATCTTAAAAATTAACAGAAAATGAGCCGCGTCATGACAAAACCAACATAATGAGTTTGCGATCAGCATGGATCCAGACCAGTCTGCGCATCAGCGCAGTCTGATCAGGATCCATGCTGTTCGCTATCAAATTCTCTACTTGTTATAGAGTTGTAAGCGAACAGCATGGATCCTGATCAGACTGCGTGGATGCGCAGGCTGGTCTGGATCCATGCTGATGGCAAACCCATTATGTTGGTTTTGTCAAAATGCGGCTGGAATATACACGTACAAGAGCCGATTGATAAATTTGCGGGCCTTGGGTCACTTTTTATGTTTGTATACCAATATATAGAGGATATTGAATGAGTGTAGGTTTAATACTAAATTTATTGAACAAGTTTAATAAAATCATATTATGCGAGCATCTGGCGAGCATAAAATTGTTTTAATCAACCAGTTCAATAAAGTTAGTATTGAACTTCACGAATGTAATATTCTATTGATCACATATATGAAATAAGAACAGTAAACTGTTAACTAAAGTCTTTTTTCTTTGACGCGCCTATAGTGTAACGCTAACATTAGCGTGCTTAAACGCTATATTTGAATTGCAAATGACGTCACATCAAAGTGTTATTACACTTGTGTAATATCGTCTAGTGTAATATAATTTTTATTAAATGGCTTTATTACACTCCTGCCCTGCGGTTTATGTGATAACTAGCTTTACAGTAATAATATGTAACGCACTGTGTACTATGAGGTAGATAGTTGCTTGGCAATACCTTCCACTGTAAACCAACTACCAGTTTTGCTAAGGTTTGTAGAATTTGTGCCAAATTTGTGTTGAAAAAATATTTTTAACTCAGCAACAGCATGAATTCCGAATAAGTGAGAAAACAAAATAACAGCTTGTTTCAAATCACAAAATAGTTGTTGCAATGTTGCCATGACAACTGTTTATATATCTATTCAGCTTCCTGATAATGACAGTGGCGACAACCTGTTTAACTTAAATCAAAATTTTCTTGAGATCTGATAATCTGATTAAGAAATAATAGAAAAAATTCTGCATATTCATCAATCAACACTCGTATTAAGCAATGTGATAGCATGAACTCACTGCATGTTCATGTAAGTAAAACACACACAAAATATTGTTTACCTTGTTTACCATATGTAAATGACTGGCAAAAAACTATAGAAGACTGGTCAAAGCTATAAATTTAGAAAACAAAATGAAAGAAATAAAATATGACATGGGGAAAAGTACAACTTATAAAAGTGATCATGCCTGTATATGCAATAATAGGAAAATATAAGTTACTTCCTTTCTTATTTAGACACCACTTTCAGAATAAGTTACTCCCCTTTGTTATTTAAACACCATTTGCAAAGTATGAAAAATGTGTCAAGCGATTATTATTAATATGCAATAATAAGTTACTTCCCATTGTTATTTAGACACTACTTTCAGTATAAGTTACTTCCCTTTGTTCTTTAAACACCATTTGCAAAGTATGAATATATGCCTGGAATTTAAAATGTAAACATAATTATCATCACAGGCATCCTAGTTTTGTCTCACTAATGTTATTACTTTTCCAATAATGAATTATTGGCAAGAATTTTAGTTTTGTTCCATGCTGTTATATAGAATTTCCCTGACTTAAGCACTTAAAATATCAGACGGTTAATATGGAAATTGATTATTAAGTGTTTTATCTCTTTATGATAAAATTAAGATAAAACTGCTAAAAAACATAAATATGTCACATGCAAGGTGAAAATGTCATTGTATTTATCATAGTAAAAAAAACAGAACAAAATTGACATTAACAGACAAAAACACAAAACAAGTTTGATTTAACCTTGTACGAAGGGTGAAAAGCTGACGGTAGGCTGATGGACACAAGATAACATTGCTAATAGACTAAAGTAATAGAAACAAAAAGTACATCAAATTGAAAAATGCAGTCAATGAATTTAAGATTCCGAATTTCAGTTTTGAATTTATTCTACTATATATTTAACTAAATTTTCTTAAAATTTTCACTGCCCCGAACTAATTTACACTGGCCGTGGGCCGCCAAGCTAGTGACTGAAAATGCTATTTTTAGAATACTTAAAAGGCACATTATGCCTCAGAATATATTTTACCTTCTTTTGAAAGGACAAACATGAATTTTCAAATATATTGAATAATCGTTTAAGAGCATGTAAGATGCTTATTACCTTAAGAAAGTAGCACTGAATGTGAAATTAGCTGTAATAAAAGTAGCAAAATGTAAACAAAGTAGTATTTTGATTTCCAAACAAAATTCTTAATCTCTATAACTTTTCTAATTCCCAGCAAGTAACAAAAGCAAAATATGATTCAGGTAATTGGCCAATGAGTATTGTTTTTAGAAACTAAAACAGAAAACACCAAATATAAAAAACTTTTGAGAAATAAAAATAAAACCATTTTCGGGGACGTAATGGGCCTTTAATTAAGTAAAAATTTGTTTAGCAGTCTGAGAAATAAATTTTTTAACCGTGTGACCAGGTAAGATACAATCATATAATTATGCCCTTAGAAGCTGAGATCATAAAAAATAAATTTTCAAACTTGTAAAAAAAGTTAACAGAGTTTCTTTAATGAGTGTGTTAAGAAACTGCAAATCAACTTTTAAGGCTGACCAAAATAAAATTAATGCATTCTAAGTTCATTTAAAATATCATCTTTTTCTTCTAATTTTGGAAACTTTTTTTTATTGCCACATGAGGAAATTCTCTCAGCCAGTGTTCCACGGTATAGTTGTCTATCCCTGAGCAGAATGATACATCAAAAAATGTCATTTTGGCACAATTTTCCAAAACCCTGAAAGTTAAAAAAATCTTTTAGGTTTTTTTGTTATACAGTCAATAATATTTTGCTAATTTGTCAATAATAAATAATAATCTTAAAAGCACACCATTTATGCTCTTTATCAAAAAAATTTATTCTTTAAATTTTACCACCTAATTGCATATGTTGTCCTGTATGACATCATCAAATTATGACATCACAATGTTAACCTTGAAAATTAATTCTGTACAACTTATATGAATTTGTTACAAATTAACACTTGTGTGTAGAAATATCTATGTGCTTCCTATAGCCATGTATGGTACACTTTGCCCACAATAGAGTGTTTTTGTGATGAAATTTCCATTCACTTATGATGAAAAATTTTATTCACAGGGCTTTTTTTCCTTCTATAACAGGGGTCGATATAAGGCCCCTTCACAATTCAAAATCACACTTTTTTTTTCACAATGCGGCAGAAAAAAATTCACAATTTCAAAAGAGAATTCACAAAATATTGGGACTTTGTCTTCGAAATACATTGTTTACCTTTCGCCAATTTCAATAACACAGAAATAGTTTTAATCAAGTTAAATGGTTTTTGGGCATGTTAACTGGGTTAAAGTACTGACTTGAAGCAGATTTTACACAGGTCAGAAATTATAATCAACCATTTCCAGTTTCAAAATGATGCGAAATGCCAAGTAATATTTCTTCTTTTTTTTCCACAATTTTATGACATATCTCACTTTTTTCCACAAAATGTACAGGCCCTGGTCCCTTCACAATTTTGACAAAAAATACCCTGATGCACATTCAAACATACAGTATAACCTCTACAGACTGGCAGTCTTCAGAGCAATTACTTCTTTTTAACAGTAATATGTATTCCCAAAGTTAAAATTTAATCTAAAAAAATTTAAAACAAAAAATATAATCTCTCTAAAATCTATTTAACCTCTCTAAAATGGGTAAATGAACCACTCTGAAGTGAGAAAATGAACCTCTCTAAAATGAAAAATTTAACCTCTCTAACACAAGCCATTTAACTTCTCTAAATCAAAAATTTAAACCTCTCAAAAACAAGAAATTTAACTGCTCTAAAACAAGAATTTTTACCTCTCTAAAATAAAACATTTACCCTCTCTAAAAAGAGAAAAATTAACCTCTGTACAGCAACACCTTTCAGGACCAACCTAAATCTTTGCCTTTCCATAGGGTTATGTTCTGCAGAAGTTTTACTGTAGTTCTGCTACAGTGAAATTATATGTACTAAAATAATAACTTACTTTTGAGCAGCATCGGCAGTGACTTGCCTGGTACCAAGGATGTCTAACTGTTCCATGTGTTTACTGTATGTAGCTATTGCCAGTAGGTCAGCATCACAAACCGTTCTGTTAACAATGAAACTAAAGCTGTATATTACTGCAAAATCATTTTTATTTGTGAGGAACTAATTTTTTTGGTTTTCGTGGATAGGCAATACAGGAATTTAAGATCCAATGAAATTTCTTTTTGTCTGCTGTAAGATTGTATTGTATCACATTATGTCTTTTATTTACAGTTCCCTGACAGTCATAATCAGAATGGATTGTTAAGCAGTATCATGTAGATTATTTATATTTAACCTTTTGGAAAAATAAACAGTCTGCATAATTTAAGAACCCTGGAAAATGTGCTTTGTGTCAAATTCATGGAGTTTATGCCTATGGAATTAAGTGAATTAACAGTATAGGCATGTTCAGTCTTTGACAATCATACATACTCTGCTATTCCTCACTATACATACCCTTCCCCCCATCCCCTTCCCTATTACCACCTAAACAATCATAACAACAGGCTTCTTAATTCACTGACTCAAACACTGTTGAAGTTTAGAATTACAGAAACTCTAGCATTGTTTTGTCTAGAGTTAAGCTCAATAAATAACTTATTTTCTATACAATTTAAGGGAAAAAAACATTCTGTAGCAAAACATTCCCAAATATTTGCAGTATTATTAGGTTTCAGTAGGTTTGGATATAAAAATTTCAATGAGTTTCACTCAAAATAAGTTACTTATCACAACACTAACAACATATGTATTCTATCACAATGTATTCTGACAATTAAGACAGCCAGCATATTTGCTTTTTGTTTTAAGTAACCCTAGCATTCTTATGATCATAATTATGGTGATTTTCTCAGCAAGACCGCAGGTCCTTCTCCATGCATTAGTTCATGAGCAACCAGGCATTTATGTTGAATCACTGACCTGTGTGCTAACCAAATAACTTCCTCACATGTAAATATCCAAACCCCCTGGAAGGATTTTGAACCTGCAGCAAGGAAGGACAAGGAGTTCCAAGTCAATGACCTTAACCACCTTGCCACTGAGGTTCCTAATCTTTGATTAAGTAACTGATGCACTTCTAGATGTAGATAAAAAATTGAGATATCTTTAAATTTTGTCATGTGTATCTCACCTGTTGGCAGTTAGAAACAACTTTTTCAAATTCGGACAATTTTTCACTAGTTCTATAAGGCATGAACTTGAAGATTTGACATCAGAGCTGAAAAAAATTGTTTCAAAACTGTTATTTGATTAAAGTTTAACAAAAATGCCATAAATTTCACACACAAAAACCCTGTCTCATTAGTGCTCAGTGATGGCAATCCATTTACATTAGTATCCCTCAATTCATGATGACTAAGAAGTCCATACTCACATTTTCATCATTTTTTTATCTGACCATTGACCTGTCTGCAAGTGACCATGACCTTGGCCACAGAGACTTGAATTTTTTTTCGTACCACACTCCCTTCTCAAAATGATTTATAATTATTTCAAGTTATATTTAAATCCCTTGAAAAGGGGTGGAAAGTTTGCTCTGCATAAACTTTTTCCTCTGACCTCTAAATGTGACTTTGAACTTGACCTCTAATAGTGACACTAAACTTGACCTCTAAGTGTGACCTAGAACTGTGACTGAAAGACCTTGTTCATAAGTCATGGTGGTCATTAGTTAAATTAAAGAATAATTAAATTCATCCATGCATGTAGAAGTCATGCATGCTCTAGACAAAGTCTATACAGTTTATCATTTTTGGTGACCTTGACCAAGGGTGACCTTGACCAAAGGGTCATGATAATAGCTTCTTTATTTTTCTATGGAAAATGAAGCTAAAAATGTAACATAAAGCTAAATACAAACAACATTTATGCACTTAATGTTATAAATGTAAAAGAAATCTACAAATCAGTTATCATAATAATCATTGTAACATCATAAACGGATGACCTTTTGACCTCAAGAAGAAAAGCACATGACATGTTACCAGGTACAATTCAATAAAAAAATAAAACAACATAAAAACCATTTTAAAGCATGTAATCATAGAAAATTTATTTGTTTTCACACGGAGGATCAAATTATATTTCACATGTGAACACCTGCAGTTTAAATGTCACTCGAGCTCGTTTAGTGAAATATATTTCTATATTGCAAAGAGACAAAAAAATATCCAGTATTTAATGGGCACTCCAAAAATCCTTTGCTGGTAGAAAATTGAATTTTTGACATACATCAACTGGGGCACTTAAAACAGAAAGACATGCAAAAGATTATTAAGAAACATACTTAGAGATAAATTGAAAAACCTATTTTGTGCTATAATAAGCCAGATTTGAGTGAAAAAGCGTAACAACGCTTTTAAATTTTTGGTAAGTTTTCACATTAAAAAAAAAATTATTCTGGAAAAACGAAGTGGGCGAATGATCTGAAATTTTGCACACACTTTATTATTCAAGACCCTCATCAAACAAACAAATCTCAAAAATTATAAAATATTTCCAGTCCTGTCATGTCATAAAAATCTCAGTGGAGTCCCTTTAAAGCATGTACAAAATATATGTTTGTTGGATTCTTAGTCAAACAAAGCTAATAAGGTCGCTATCAAATCCTTGATGAATGAAAGACAAATATGATATCTTATGGCCAATGACCTTATCAAAATATCAAAGACATTTATGTAACTGTCAAAGACCTTTATCTAACAGTCAAAGATATTTATCAATTTGTCAAAGGCATTTATCAGTCATATAAATGGAACATATTGAAAGAGTGTAGGTTCAATACTGAATTTATTGAATGAGCTGAATAAAATTATATTACGGGAGCCTCTGGCAAGGAAACTATGATATTATTCAACAAGTTCAATAAATTTAGTAATGAACCTGCACAAAATTAATATGACATTCTTTTTATCACATACTCAAAAGAAAGACTGTTTAAAGTGCAGTAAAATCATTATTTTTTTTACATTAAGAGCATCTTTACACTATGTTTGTATAAATGGCGTTTTGTCAAAATATATGCTTGGCCGTACAATACCATCTTTACGGAATCACAAAATTGGCACGGGTATGTGATAAATTACCATAAAGCACATAAAGATATAAAACACATTACCACCATCCTAAATCCAGTTCCTCTAAATGTGAACAACCCCCAGCTAATGCTGAAACCCCTACATTAGAAACTGTTCTACATCTCCAGGCATCAAGGGAGACTAATTTTCTGAAAATAAAAATGTTACAGTTACTTCCCTTTGTTATTTTAACACCACTTGTATGATACTCAAAATATTTGATTTTTTTGTAGATTTCTTCAATTCAAGATTCTATTAACATACAATAAATATAATTGATTAGGTTATAGGCCTAAATACAGCTTGAAAAGCAACAATAAAATCTTGCAAGAGGTCTCTTAAATAGTGTTTATGTGACCTTATCATTTAACCTCTGTGTGACCTTCACCTGTATTAAGTGTTTATGTGACATTGACATTGTCATTTGACCTCTGTGTGGCCTTCACCTGTATTAAGTGTTTATGTGACACTATTAACAAGAGCTGTCAGTAGGACAGCATGCTCATCTATTCTCAGTGCTTGATAGTAAAACAAGAGCCTGGATAATGTAGAATTTTGTAAGTTCAAAAAAGGGCCATAAATCTGTCAAAATCCATGATAGAGTAATGGCCCTTGAACATTAACCTGCTTTTATGCAAGTGTGTGAGTTTCAACCCATCGGCTTCAGTAGTTTTGGAGATACCAACTTTCACACAAATGCAAAGTGATGCCTATGATGGGCCGAGTACATTAGCTCTCCCTTCTCTTTGAATAGTTGAGCTAAAATCTTATTTTTACAAGGTCATTATTCAATGTACCATATATCATTTTACTCAGTTCAAATTTAAAGTTTGAAAGACAACAACTTCTTCATCTGAATATTTCAGCTTTGAGAACTTTGTCTGCATACATCCAAAACATTTATATACTGGCAGCCCTAAAAACTAAGTGATATTTATTTACTAATGAAGAAGATTATGCAAAGAAAATTATGTTTTTTTTGTTATTTTTCTTTTTTGAATTAGGAGATCAGTAATAATAGTTACACATCAAACCTAACTAGACACGTATTGAATTTTTCTTCTTTCTTTTCTTTTATTATTTTACCATCTTGAGGTAGATTTTCACACACATTTAGTAAGTAAATAAGTAAGAAAGTAACAACTTTATTTAATGAGGCTAGCACATTCAGTTTCCTTATCTTCCATGTGGGCCTCAGACATTTTCACAAGGACTGTGTGATTCGTAAAGAGATTTAAAAATTTCTAAAGATAAAATTATTTAAACTTACTTTGTATGTTCACCTATTGCTAAAAGTATTTCATCAAAAACATGGACACAGTTTGTTGATCCTAAATTCAGATGCTTTAATTCTGTACATGACCTGAAAAATCAAAAAGGAGACTATAATTTAAGTATATTTTACTAACTTTCATACAAACAACAACATATATTTTTTCTTCAATGTTTGGTCAATTAAGAAATTAATTAAATTATAGTTCCCAAACAGTGATTTTATCACTAAATAAAATCACTGTTTGAAGTTTGGATGCGAGGAATTATATCACAAGGAAATAGCCCAAATGATGTAATGCTGAGCACCCGAACTACAAACAGTGATTTTTATTAAGCGATAAAAGTACTTCTTAGGATATATTATTTCAATTCTAACTTGATATTGACAAATAAATGATGCCGTACCTGATTTCAAGCTTGATTGTAACTGATTTGTTTTCATACTTATTTTCAGCGCATCACATTTTTAATGGTTATGTCACATGTCTAAATATAGATTGTCAACAGTAATTTTATTGCATATTTAGTTATTTACACACACTTTTGACAAGTCTGTTTAATAGGGAAAATGCGGATTGTGTTAGAATTTTTTTGTGTAAATGTCCTGTCATCCGCAAGACCGTGTGGCCAGATCAAATGTCAAATGCAGAAAAAAGGTCTCAAACAGCTTGTCTGCTCCTTTCTATACTACAAAGTGACAGGTAATATGACTGTCTTCTACTGGCGACTGTCAATTAATGATATTTTTTTTAAGGATTTGAAGTACAACTGTATTAAGTGTTTATGTGACCTTGTCATTTGACCTCTGTATGACCTTCACCTGTATTAAGTGTTTATGTGACCTTGTCATTTGACCTCTGCATGACCTTCACCTGTATTAAATGTTTATGTGACCTTGTCATTTAACCTCTGTGTGACCTTCACCTGTATTAAATGTTTATGTGACCTTGTCATTTGACCTCTGTGTGACCTTCACCTGTATCAAGTGTTTATGTGACCTTATAAATTGACCTCTGTATGACCTTTATCTGTATTAAGTGTTTATGTGACCTTGTCATTTGACCTCTGTGTGACCTTCACCTGTATTAAATGTTTATGTGACCTTGTCATTTGACCTCTGTGTGACCTTCACCTTACATGCAACAACAAAGACACCCATCTACTGCAAACATTTTAACAATTTTGCCTAGAGTATTTTATGATGAGACTGTTTCTACATAGTACATGTAGTATCAGAGTCAATTTAACCTCTGACCTTTTGAGGCCCTGAAACAATTTCATATTCCTATAATCATTAAGAACTTATCATCTGAACTTTAACTTCCGACAAGGCAGTGATACATGAAAAGAGAATTTGGCTATGGGAGCATTATTATATACTAATATACAATGAGGCTGTAGAATGGTAAAGCAGAAATACACATTTTGTAAACATACAAAAGTCCTGGAGAGGTGAACGATCTACACTCCTTAGTTTGAGGTGGTTATTAACAGTTCAATCCTTAAAATGAAAGAAGACCAGTGCCAATGTATTCAATCATGAACATATACCTTATTTACCCCCAGGTAAAGGAAAAAGGAATGTCTGTTTATTGTTAGCTAACCGGAAAAAAATACCTGTTAATTGTCTTTTCTAAATGTCATTGTTGAACTGATCCCCAGCATTGCAGATTGCAGGGATGAGTTTGGTTGAAAATATCATGTAAACAAGAATAAATTTCAACCTGTCTCTTTTATAATTCTGAGAGGTTACAATGTTTAAATTTTAATAAACTGTCCCTTTAATTCTGAGAAGTAAAAAATGTTTACATTGATTAACCTGTCCCTTTAATTCTTAGAAGTAAAAAATGTTAAATTAATTTACCCGTCCCTCTAATTCTAAGAAGAAAAAAATGTTAAAATTGACTAACCTGTCCCTTTAATTCTGAGAAGTAAAAAAAGTTCTATGGAATAACCTCACCCTGTTTTCTGACTTTTAAAAAATGTTAAATTGACTTATCTCCCTGTTTCTGACAAGTTAAAAATGTTTAAATGGACTAAAACATCCCTTAATTTTGACAAATAAAAAATGTTAATTGACTAAGTACCAGAACCTTTAATTCAGAGAACAAACTAGAAATGTGTCATCATGCCACGGATGCCCCCGCATGCAGCCAAAATTTCAGATGTTATAATATTTAGTTCCAAATTTGTTTGCACAAATTATTGTTTTCATTTTAAGTTCAAAGCCCTTAAAACTTTTCAATGTTAACACAAACCATTTCCATACAATGTTCAAGGCACTGAAATTATTCAGTCTTAACCTTTTGAAAATAGCATATTTCATATTTGTAGCCAAAATAATGGCTACATACATTTCCACAAAAGTATGAGTGCTGAAACTGAAAGTTCAAAATTTTTCCAATATTCAAGAAAGATAAGTTTGTCGAAAATCATTGAACCCGTAACGACCAAATTCAAACTTAAACTGCTTATTCCTAAGATGTATCTATATTATTTTCAAAGTGAAAGGGACATAACTCTGCCAAAAAAATCATCGAACCATGACCAAATTCCAACTTGACCTGCCCATTCCTTTGACATATCCATATGTCAAATTTGAGTTGAATATGTAACATTGTTGGGTAGATAATGAACAGAAACTGTAAATTTCATATTAATTTCAAAGTGAAAGGGGCATTACTCTGCCAAAAATCATTGAACAATGAACAAATTCGAACTGGGCCTGGGCATTCCAAAAACATATCCATATGTCAAATTTGAGTTGAATGTGTTGTACTGTTGAGGATATATAAACAGAAACTGAAAATTTCATATTATTTTCAAAGTAAAAGGAGCATAACTCTGCCAAAAATCATCGAACCATGACCAAATTCAAACTTAACCTGTATTTTCTCATGACATATCCATATGTCAAATTTGAGTTGAAAATGTTGTACCGTTGGGGAGATAATGAACGGAAACTGAAAATTTCATATTATTTTCAAAGTAAAAGGGGCATTTCTCTGCCAAAAATCATCGAACCATGACAAAATCGAACTTGACCTGTATTTTCTAATGACATATCCATTTGTCAAATTTGAGTTGAATGTGTTGTACTGTTGTGGAGATAATGAACGGAAACTCAAAATTTCATATTATTTTCAAAGTAAAAGGGGCATAACTCTGCCAAAAATCATCGAACCATGACCAAATTCGAACTTGACCTGTATTTTCTCATGACATATCCATATGTCAAATTTGAGTTGAATATGTTGGTACTGTTGGGGAGATAATGAACGGAAACTGAAAATTTCATATTATTTTCAAAGTAAAAGGGGCATAACTCTACCAAAAATCATCAAACCATGACCAAATTCGAACTTGGCCTGTATTTACTCATGACATATCCATATGTCAAATTTCAGTTGAATATGTGCAACCGTTACTAAGATAATGAACGGAAACTGATGATGACGGAATGACAGAATGACGGAAGGACGGAACAGGGTAACACTATATGCCCCGGCCATTACATGGCGGGGGCATAAAAAAGCCAAATTGACTTACCTGTACCTTTAATTCTGAGAAATAAAAAAAATTAAATTTATTTACCTGTCCCTTTAATTCTAAGAAGTAAAAAATGTTAAAATTGACATACCTGACAGGTAAAAAAATGTTTAATTGACTAACCTGTCCCTTATTTCTGACGAGTAAAATAATATTAAAGTGACATACCTAATTATACGCAGTAATGCATCTTGGTCTATATTAGTTCTGTAAAGGTTTAATCTTTCTAGGTGTTTCAGGTTTGATATGTCATAAAAACCATTGCTTACAATCTCCTTACAACTACCTATATCCAACTCTGGAAAAATAAAACAAGACCTATCAGTAGGACAGTGTGCTTGACTATTCTCAGCCCTTGATAGTAAAATAAGTCTGGATGGTGTACAATTTTTTAATTTCAAATAACACACCGTATTACCGGCGCCAGTGATGGCAGATAGCTGAAAATTTACCGCTCGGTACAGGTAGGTTATAAATTTGGTTGGTATTAGTATATTACACAAATACGACCCATTTCATTGCTATGAAACTATTGTCCATTGATTGGAGATACTATTATGTAATTTTTAACTCGTTTTTCCAACCGCCTCCGTGGTCGAGGGGTTAGAGTCGATGACTTCTAATCCAGTTACCTCTCTGACATGGGTTCGATCCCCGGGAGATGCTTTGGTAGTTTAGCGCGGAGGAAGGTAGTCTAGTACTGGTGTAACTCTCCAGGAACGATAGTTAGGAAACTATCCGCCTATATGACTGAAATACTGTTGAAAAAGGCGTAAAATGAAACAAACAAAAACTCGTTTTTCCAGATTTTAGACTATTTTGAGCAGGTTAAAAGTGACAGCTTTGGAAAAATCCATGAAAATGTCTGTTTTTTTGTTCAAAATATTTCAAGTTTTAACTGAATGGCAGGATTTCGTGTTGTTAATATAGACGTTCATCCATTGGGGTCACGCAAGCCAAATATCTACCCCATGAGTCTTTTCTTGAAAGTTTTACAGACGTTCAATCTGGTCCGGTCGAAGAAATGCTGCCGTTGTAGGCAGATACTTATTTTAATGTTGCCATCGATGGCAGAAATACCATGAAAGTGGCTAACATTCTGACAGAAAATCAAGGTCAATCTTTTATCAATTCCTCTATTCTTTGCGCCCTTTTAGTCGGAATAGAGATAATAAATTATCATTTCTAATATTTTCTCAAGATAGAAAAGTTATTAATGCGGTATGTGCATCGTAAAAGCTTTTTAGCAACACGCAGTTGCAATACAAAATGTGATGATTCAGTACGACCAAATTGCACCATAAATAGAGCAATTAACATGAAGAAATTCATTTTTCTATATTCATGCATGTGTGCTTGATCTGTTATGTCTGTCAGTTGCATGCATACAATACCATATGTATATTGAGTTTTGCAGCCCATAATTCACTCCCTTTTCAAGACATAACGCCATTTGCATATTACAGCTGTAACTTCAGTAAGTGGATATTCATGTGCAAGCATATGACATTATTTTCTCGAGGTAATAATGTTCATCGCTTTATGACATATAAAGGCTGAAATTTACTTAGTCGGCGTTAATGCAGCAGATTATAAGATACTAAATCGATGTAATAAAGGGGAGACTATTAACCTTGCAACTGACAAGATCTGTGGACATCAGTGTATCATAAAACAATGTATGTAAATGTAAAATGGTGATAAAGAGAATATTATCGACAGTTCAAATTTTTCCCTATAAAATCAAGTCCTTGAAAAACACGACATAGTGGATTCATTTCTTTAAACTTTCATATTTGAAATCGCGTTGTAGTTTGCCTTTGAATTACATTTACTATGCTAAAATATTAACAACAGTACTAACAGTAAGGTGTATATACAACGTGATTTCAAATATGAAAGTTTAAAGAAATGAATCCACTTTGTCGTCTTTTTCAAGAACTTGATTTTATAGAAAAAAATTTGAACTGTCGATAATATTCTCTTTATCACCATTTTACATTTACATACATTGTTTTATGATACACTGATGTCCACAGATCTTGTCAGTTGCAAGGTTAATAGTCTCCCCTTTATTACATCGATTTAGTATCTTATAATCTGCTGCATTAACGCCGACTAAGTAAATTTCAGCCTTTATATGTCATAAAGCGATGAACATTATTACCTCGAGAAAATAATGTCATATGCTAGCATATGAATATCCACTTACTGAAGTTACAGCTGTAATATGCAAATGGCGTTATGTCTTGAAAAGTGAGTGAATTATGCGCTGCAAAACTCAATATACATATGGTATTGTATGCATGCAACTGACAGACATAACAGATCAAGCACACATGCATGAATATAGAAAAATGAATTTCTTCATGTTAATTGCTCTATTTATAGTGCAATTTGGTCGTACTGAATCATCACATTTTGTATTGCAACTGCGTGTTGCTAAAAAGCTTTTTCGATGCACATAACGCATTAATAACTTTTCTATCTTGAGAAAATATTAGAAATGATAGATTAACATCTCAATTCCGACTAAAAGGGCGCAAAGAATAGAGGAATTGATAAAAGATTGACCTTGATTTTCTGTCAGAATGTTAGCCACTTTCGTGGTATTTCTGCCATTGACGGCAGCATTTAAAATAAGTATCTGCCTACAACGGCAGCATTTTTTCTTCGACCGGACCAGATTGAACGTCTGTAAAACTTTCAAGAAAAGACTCATGGGGTAAGTATTTGGCTTGCGTGACCCCAATGGATGAACGTCTATATTAACAACACGAAATCCTGCCATTCAGTTAAAACTTGAGATATTTTGAACAAAAAACAGGCATTTTCACGGATTTTTCCGAAGATGTCACTTTTCACCTGCTCAAAATAGTCTAAAAACAGGAAAAATAAGTCCAAAATTACCTAATAGTATCTCCAATCAATGGAGAATAGTTTCATAGCAATGAAATGGGCCGTATTTGTATAATATAATAATATTAACCAAATCATTAACCTACCTGTACAGAGTGGTAAATTTCAGCTATCTGCCATCACTGCAGTGATCTGCCATCACTGGCGCCGGTAATACTGTGTGAATAAGGTCAAAATTCTGTCAAAACCTTGTTAAGAGGTATGGGCCTTGTACAGTGACCTATTATTATGTTGAAATTTTACAAACAAGTTATTAGTCCAGACCTACATCAAATGGTACACAAGCCTTGAAAATAATATTTTCCACATAAAAACTCAACAAAGACCCTTTAAGAAATACAGATAAAATCAATACAGATTATTAAATAAAAACTTTCAGCACCAGAATTTAAATTAAAAGTTAAAACATACAAGATGTATTCTGCATACCATACTTGACCAAGCTGGAACCTACTCTTATAATAAAATAAATCATTCCTGATAAATTTTTAGCTTTAAATATATCTAAACATTCTGAAAAAATTCAATTTCATCTACATTTAAGTTGAAAACTGACCTTTCAAATTCGGACAACTTTGAGATATCTCATGTATAGAAATCTGTGTCACAAAACTGCATGAGGATAGATAAAGATCTTGTAAATTTTGACCGCATGCTTTGATATATCTGAAAATATAAAAAATTAAGTAATATTAACATTTTACAAACAAAATTAAAGTGAATTGGTCAATAATGGAAGATCTGTAATACAATTATTTAATTATTTTGATGGTATTTAGTATCAGACAGGACAACAAACCATGGAAGAATTATAATAACATTCAATGTATTGCATTTCCATCGTTACAAAAAAGGTACTAATACGTCCACTGATTCCACTGATCATCACATGCAAAAATTAATGTTTAACACAAAGTTTTTTTTCCATGTTTCTATAACAAAACAGTATTTCCATGATTTGTCAGTAGGAAAATGTTTAAATAACAACATTTCCATGGTCTTCCAAACAGAAAGACCTTTTTGAAACAGTATTTAAATGGTCTTGCTATCAGAAAAATCTTTAAAAAAGATTTCTCATGGTCTTACAGACTTTAAAAACAACATTTACATTGTCTTACCTACAAAACACAATATTTACATGGTCTTACCTACAAAAAGAGCCCTCAGAAACAATATTTCCATGGTCTTACCTAAAAAAGAGCCCTCAGAAATAATATTTTCATTGTCTTACCTACAAAAAAGAGCCATAAAATACAATATTTCCATGGTCTTATCTACAAAAAGAGCCCTCAGAAATAATATTTCCATGGTCTTAACTACAATAAAAGCCCTCAGAAACAATATTTCCATGGTCTTACCAACAAAGAGCCCTCAGAAACAATATTTCCATGGTCTTATCAGGCCCGTCGTCACGATTTTGTGATTGGTGCGGCCAATTTGATTGGTTTTAGGTAGAATGTAGGGGGGTACGGGGGCATGCTCCCCCGGAAATTTTTTTATTCTAGGATGCCCTCAGGGGCGTTTTCCCGTATATTTGGCACAGTTTACAGCCTGCCGCTAGTACATGTTATAGTAATTTGTCAACGATTTTTTTACAGATTTAATTAAGTGCGTCGTAAGTTTCAAGGGTCGCATGACGGACGGACAGGTGTACATAAAAGATGAATACATGTAATTGATATTTGGCAAATGAAAAATAAACAATAACTGATGTTATTATAATTCTTTAGATGCATTTTTATCTGATGCTTATAAATAAACAAATAAAAGAAATATTACAGTACGTGGATTATTGTTTAGCATAAATCACACAATGGTATAAGCTTAAATAACAATCGATCACATGATGAAAGAATAGTACATAACGAGTCAACAATAGCCACTTTTTGTTTAGAGTAACTTGTATTTTGTTAACAATAATCTTACACAACACAGTCTCATTTTATGTAAATTTTCCAAAAACACATCGCCGTCGTTCTCTGGTAGTAATGAACTCATCGGCAATTACACGTAAGTTGAGTGGATCTGTCCAGTTAACACCATTAGATTGTTCAAACGTACTTGAGACATTGTCGATCTCAGGTATGTCTTAATTCTTCTGAACGCCGAGAATGTCCTTTCGCTGGTAGCATTAGTAGCAGGCATAACTAACAAAATCTTTAACAACACAACGACCGCAGAGAACAGTGCTCGTTCTAGCACCGTCTGTTCTGACGCAAATTTCAAAATATTCTATATTCTATTTACTGATTTGTCAAAATGTGAACGTAGCAGCTGAAGCTGCGCATCTAACATGTCTCGGTTAATATCGTTACCACAGAACCAAGTTCTCTAGTGGACTCGGTCTTCAAAGGTTGTGTGGCCTTTATAAGTAAATTCTCCACGTACGTTTGAAGTACGCGATATCCCGGTTGGTCAAATATATCTTTAACACTGGCGATGGCAAGATCAATTGCTTCAAAGTACTTAGGCAGGAGCACGTCCTGCACTGTAACGGGGTGGTAGCCAACATCGTGCCCCATCTCGAATCGTGTGGGCGCCCTTCTCTTCCACGGAACATTTGGATCGTTAACACAGACGCGATCACTCTCACATTGAAGTTTATTCCATAAAGAATCAAAACTGTTGTCTGATCTCATGTCTATCAAACTATTTAGAGTCCGCTCTGCTAGCCGCTGGCCCTCGGATGCAGACAATGAAACTTGCTGAGGTTGTCTGTCAATGCTAGGATGTCGTGTGCGAGCATTACACCGAAAAATTACTCGAACTTGACTTCGTAGAACCCCTACATATACATGGTCAATTAATTGTGTCCAGTTGTTTCTTCGCGTCATGTTTGTATATTATATATATACCGCGCATTGCATAAGGAGCTAGTTAAGTGCCAAATTGCTAATCAGCGATGTGTTGTTTGTTGTTTTTTTTACACTCATTTTTGGCCAAAATATTGGTCCGGCCAAGACCGGACCGGCCGGACCATCGACGACGGCCTTGCTTATTTACAAAAAGTCATCAGAAACAATATTTACATGGTCTTACCTACAAAAAGAGCCCTCAGAAACAATATTTCCATGGTCTTACCTACAAAAAGAGTCCTCAGAAACAATATTTCCATGGTCTTACCTACAAAAAGAGTCCTCAGAAACAATATTTCCATGGCACCAGGACAGGTTAAGTCTCTGAAGAAACCTACTTCTATTATGAAGACTTTCTAATGCAATGTCATTTACCTGAAAAATGTATACATGTAAATATTTTTATTACACCTATGTGTAATAAATAATTCCTTCTTTCCTCCTGTCTATCCATTGTAAAAGTGAGTTTACAATTATTTTAAAGTAAAGTACTGTATTAAAACTACTTAACAATTTAGATAAAGATACTAAATGAGCTGTCCAGCGTTCTTGACTATTCTCAATGCTTGATAGTAAAACAAAAGCCTTGATAATGTACAATTCTCTAAGTTAGAAAAGGACCATAATTCTGTCAAAATCCATGTTATAATTACAGATCATGGATATTATGCTCTCAAATTAGTGTGTGAAGTTTCAACCTAATTCCTTCAGTAGTTTTGTAGATCCCAACTTGCACACAAAAACTTAACCAAATTTTGACGCCAACACCTGGGCTCTTTCTATTTTTCGACTAGTCCATCTAAAAAGTAACAACTATGACAATAGCATATTATTTGTAACCTTCCAATTCTTAGTAAAATAGTTTTCATTTAAAGTCAATATTATTATAGACTAACTCATATTCTGTACAAACCTGAGGCCAGTGAGGTTGTAAGTTCAATTCTGTGTACTGCAGTGAGTCGTAGCTATGTTTGTATAATAATCTGTAAACAATAAAAACACAAATTATTGATTTGAGAACCCATGCACCCCCCCCCCCCTCCGAGGTGCAACCTCGTTTGACCACAGGACTAAAACTTCAACGATTTTGGTAGAGGTCCACTAGACAATGTTTCATACCAAATATCTAAGCTTTAACAATATCAATAAATGCCCAGAGCATAATACTATAAATATGTTAAAGGGACTTCACTGAGTTTTTTTTTGACATGACGGGACTGGAAATAAATTTTTGAGATTAATGTTCCATTTGATGTCAGTCATGACTAATAACTTGTGTGTAAAATTTCAGATCATTCCTTCACACCATTTTACAGATTGTGAAAAATGACCTACGTTTTTCATTCAAATCGGGCAAAAAAAGCAAAAATTACAGTTTTCTTATTTATATCTGAGTTCATTTTTGTATATTTCTGAATTACTTTTTGCATATCTTTCTCTTTTGAGTGCTCCTGCTGATCTTTGTGAGAAATTTTGATTTTATGTTTTTTAGGTTTTTGGACCTCAGTGGAGTTCCTTTAATATATACATGTACTAGCTGTACACACTGTGTTCAAGAATACACAATCCCTTTTTTACGGGAAGGATTATGTATCCGCTCTTGGGAGACGAAAGACACTCATTATTTTAGTTGTGGCCACTAATTTGTTATTCATGTATTTCCTATATAATATTAGTAAACATCTCAACATGCACTCTGTCACATACATCATGGAAAATTCTTAAAATGTTTCCTTTTTTTAACAAGAGCGATCAGTGATCACATGTGTCTCATATGATAGCCAATTACATGTTGCAGCTATTGTGCAGCAGGAGACAAAAAAATATTGCCAGGGCAAAACACATTTTTTTTTTAATTCAAAGTAAAATCACTCTGCTAAAAATCATTCAACCAAAAAACTCATGTAATATAAGCAAATACATGAGCTACAGATCAATCCTGTAAAGTTTCACTGAAATTGCTTCAGTGGTATAAGAGAAGTAGTCTGAATAAACTTTAGAAATAACAAGAGCGATCAGTGATCACATGTGTCGCCTCATGATGGCCAATTTCATGTTGGGACAAGTTTTGTGACAGACGGACAGACAGACGAACAGTGCACAACTAGACTTGGTACTGATCATTCCTGAAAAGTTTGGATGAAATTGCACCATTAGTTTATGAGGAGTAGTCCGGACAAGCTTTTGTGTATCTGGCAACACACAGAAAAAAACACCTTTTTTATCAAAGGGCAATAACTCGGCCAAAAATCATTCAACTGGAAAACCCATGCAATATGCGCAAGGACTTGAGCTACAGATCAATCCTGTAAAGTTTCATTGAAATTGCATTAGTGGTATAAGAGAAGTAGTCCTGAAATTGCATTAGTGGTATAAGAGAAGTAGTCCGGACAAACTTTAAAAATAACAAGAGGGCCATGATGGCCCTGAGGTCGCTCACCTGTATATAGCCCCCCCCCCCCCGGCCCAATTTTTACCCAAGGGCTTTTATTTGTTTATTTGAACAGACTTGGTAGACACCCATAAGAAGATGTTTCATGCAAAACATCTAAGTTCTAGCTCATTGGGTTTTTTAAAAGAAGATTTTTTAATTTTTTACTATACACATATAGTTAAAAACAATGACACCCCTCGGGCAGGGCCAGTTTTGACCCCTGGGCTTTTATTTGAACAAACTTTGTAGATATTTACTTAAAGATGTTTCATGCTTAATATCTAAACTCTAGTTATTTGGGTTTTTTCAAAGAAGATTTTTAAGTTTTTGCTATGTATATAAGGAAAATCAATGACCCCCGGGGCGGGGCCAGTTTTGACCCCAGGGCTTTTATTTGAACATACTTGGTAGACACCCATTAGAACATGTCTCATGCTAAATATCTTAGCTCTAGCTCTTTGGGTTCTTTAAAAGAAGATTTTATAAGTTTTTACTATATGCATATAAGGAAAATCAATGACCCCCTGGGGCGGGGCCAATTTTGACCCCAGGGCTTTTATTTGAACAAACTTGGTAGACATTCACTAGAAGATGTTTCATGCCAAATATCTAAGCTCTAGCTCTTACGATTCTTTTAAAGAAGATTTTTTAAGTTTTTACTATATGCATATAGGGAAAATCAATGACCCCCGGGGCAGGGCCAATTTTGACCCCAGGGCTTTTATTTGAACAAACTTGGTAGACATTCACTAGAAGATGTTTCATGCCAAATATCTTAGCTCTAGCTCTTTGGGTTCTTTAAAAGAAGATTTTTTAAGTTTTTACTTTATGCATATAGGGAAAATCAATGACCCCCTGGAGTGGGGCCAATTTGGACCCCAGGGCTTTTATTTGAACAAACTTGGTAGACATTCACTAGAAGATGTTTCATGCCAAATATCTAAGCTCTAGCTCTTACAGTTCTTTAAAAGAAGATTTTTTAAGTTTTTACTATATGCATATAGGGAAAATCAATGACCCCCCGGGGCGGGACCAATTTTGACCCCAGGGCTTTTATTTGAACAAACTTGGTAGACACTCATTAGAAGATGTTTCATGCCAAATATCTAAGCTCTAGCTCTTAGGGTTGTTTAAAAGAAGATATTTAAAGATTTTTCTTTCGGTTGCCATGGCAACCAGAGTTCTGCATGGAATTAAATTCTTTGAACAATTTTTAAAGGTGACCACCAAAGGAACATTCCTGTGAAGTTTGGATGAAATTGGCTCAGTGGTTTATGAGGAGATGTCATTTAAAGCAAAAGTTTACGGACGACGGACGGACGACAGACGGACGGACGCCGGACGAAAAGCGATCACAAAAGCTCACCCTGAGCTAAAAATTATTAAAGGGCCATAACTCTGACAAAAATCATTGAACCGGAAAATGCTGACAATATGCACAACTAGACTTGGTACTGATCATTCCTGTAAAGTTTGGATGAAATTGCACCAGTAGTTTATGAGGAGTAGTCCGGACAAGTTTTGGAAAGACGGACAGACAGACGACGGAGAAGTGATCCCTATATGTCGCCACTACTCCGTAGAGGCCACACAAAAATCATTAAAGGGCCATATCAATGAACCGGAAATTACTTAATGCTGACAATATGCGCAACTAGACTAGGTATTGATCATTCCTATAAAGTTTGGATGAAATTGCACCAGTAGTTTCTGAGGAGTAATCTGGACAAGTTTTGTGACTGACGAACAGATGGACAGACAGAGAACGGAGAAGTGATCCCTATATGTCGCGACTCCTCTGTAGAGACAACACAAAAATGCACCCGGACAATACAAAATATTTCTATTTTTAACTTACTTTGAACTTCTAGCCACTCTGCATAGTGATAACACATCTAGAAAACTCAAGATTACCTGAATAACCTCTTCCTGGAATATATAAAAATTAACATTAATGTATCAATTATAAGTAAGAAGCTAAAAGTAAGGTAAAGACCCTCCCCTGTACTCAGAAGCAAGATTAATACCCCCTCTCTTATTCAGAAGTAAGGTAAATATCTGCCCTCCCCCATTCAGAAGTCAGGTTACAAAAATACCCAACCCCCTATTCAGAAGTAAGGTAAATACCCATCCCCCTATTCAGAAGGAAGGTAAATACCCATCCCCCTATTCAGAAGTAAGGTTAATACCCTCCCCATATTCAGAAGGAAGGTAAATACACTCCCCCTATTCAGAAGGAAGGTAAATACCCTGCCCCTATTCAGAAGTAAGGTAAATACCCATCCTCCTATTCAGAAGGAAGGTAAATACCCTCCCCCTATTCAAAAGTAAGGTAAATACACTCCCCTTTTCAGAAGGAAGGTAAATACCCTGCCCCTATTCAGAAGTAAGGTAAATACCCATCCCCCTATTCAGAAGGAAGGTAAATACCCTCCCCCTATTCAGAAGTAAGGTTAATACCCTCCCCCTATTCAGAAGTAAGGTAAATACCCTCCCCCTATTCAGAAGTAAGGTAAATACCTTCAAATCTCCATCACGCCCAAGAAGAGACTTATTTCACAGATATTTTACTGTCATTGCATCACATCAAAATACATGTAGGCAAATGCAATGTTTTACTGCACAAAAATTGTGACCAGAAATCTGGATATAATACATGTACATCACAACAAATATTGCATTAAATATGCAGAATGTCTCAATCTTTTTTTCCCCAGGATTTTGGGAACATGACCCATACCCATGGAATTGGGAATTTCAGCGATGTTTTGTTAAAAATTGGGAAATTATGCATGATTTAAATTTTGTAGTGGTTAAAGAATCACCATCTAGGATGGCATCTTCAAATGTTTTAGAATTTATTATTAAATATTTATATTTTGTGACTTTCAATTGGGAATTTTTTTCTGTGAATTGGGAAAATAACATACTATTTTCAATTTGAAATAGACAGAATATCTGCTATACAATAAGCAAAAAAAAAATCCCTGTGTCTCTTAGTTGGTCTAAAATCACTTATATAATAACATAGTTCCTATTTGATTTAATAAGCATGAGTCAGATGCCTATAGTAAAGTACAGTAAACAATTTGCATCAAGTAAACAACTTGTTTGGCAATTCAAAATTATCAGATTGTGAATTGGTATTGGTAGAAAAACATGAAAAACAAACCCATTTCTATGTCTAGTCATAAAAAAACATCAAATAAACAAGTCCAAAACATTCTGTTTACAAAAGAGTCTTATGACAATTGGTTTTAAACGTTTCCAAGTAACCATTTTCTGTAAATTACTTGAGAATTCAAAACATATTTCATCTCATAATTAGACTGCATGAAATTGGACTTAAAGGTCACTTTAAGACACAAAAAGCAAATTTTACCTTTGTTTGTTTGTTTGATTGGGTTTTACATCACACCGACACAGTATAGCTTTATTGGTGGAGGAAGACCTCAGGTACCCTTCCATGCATTATTTCAGGCATGATCGGGTACCTGAGTAGAACCACCAACGTTCCATAAGCTAGCTGGATAACTTCCTCATATGAAAGAATTCAAAGTCCCTTTCGGGATTCATTTCCACAGCGGTGAGGGGCAAGTGGTTAACTTTACCTTTATCTTTCACATTAAAGGGACTCCACTGAGATTTCTTTGACATGATGTGACTGGAAATATGTTTAGATATATTTGTACCATTTGATGTAGGTCTGGACCAATAACTTGAATGCAAAATATCAGACCATACCCTCATTCTGTTTTTCCACAAAAATCATTTTAATTTTACCAAATGGCCCAAAATGAAAAAAGCATTTAAACGCTTTAAACTCAAATGAAGCTAAGAATGACAAAAATACTCCAACCCCTCCACCCCAGCCACTACAAAAAAAGTGATTTGTAAAGAAATTAAATTCTATAAGTTATAAGGTATTGTAACACGGATAAAGGCATTATAGCAGAAATCAAAAGGTGTAATTACGCGGAAAAAAAGGTGTAGTTCCCAAATAAACGCGTAATAATGCAAATAAAGGTATAGTATTGCAAAACGAATGACATAATGCGAATTAAGTCATCATAACATGAAATAAAAGGCTTAAATAAGCAAAACAAAAGGTGAAATATGCAAATTATGGAGTAGGATAAAATCTGATTATTTGACACTTTAAACAAAGCAATACTCACTGGTAATAAATCAAAGAATCCATTGTCAGATTCTGGTTCAAACTCCTCACTTATCTGTTGATTCACTTCTCCATGTGATATCATTTCCCCCAGTACATTCACTTCCCCAAGTTCGTAACATTCACTTCCTTTTTCTAATTTATTGTTACTGAAGATCTCTAATGTTTTTGATTTCCCTTGACTGGATCCCTCTTGACTTGTTGAGACTTCAGATCTGGGCGGGGAACCAGATTTTGAACCGATATTTAAATTTTCGAATTGCGTCATTGCCATGGAGACCTGTGTCATGTGATCCCCTTCTTTATCTGTGAAAATGAAATGCGTTGTAAATAAAAACAAGAGGGCCATGATAGCCCTGAAATCGCTCACCAATATAAAGGCCCCTGGGCCAAGGCCAATTTTAAACCAGGAGCTTTTATTTGAACAAACTTGGAAGACACCCATTTGAAGATGTTTCGTGATAAATATCTAAGCTCTAGCTCTTTGGGGTTTTTACAAGATTTTTTAAGTTTTTACTATATACATAGGGAAAAACAATGACCCCCCCCTGGGATGGGCCAGTTTTGACCCCAGGGCTTTTATTTGAACAAACTTGGTAGACACTCAATAGAAGATATTTCATGCTTAGTATCTAAACTCAAGCTCTTTGGGTTTTCTTTAAAATATTTTTTTTAAAGTTTTACTATACACATATAAGGAAAATCAATGACCCCTGGGGTGGGGCCAATTTTAACCCAAGAGCCCTTATTTGAACAAACTTGGTAGACACCCATTAGAAGATGTTTCATGCTAAATATCTTAGCTCTAGCTCTTTGGGGTTTTTCAAAGCAGATTTTTTAAGATTATACTATATACATAAAGGGAAAAACAATGACTCCCCTGGGACGGGGCCAATTTTTACCCCAGGGCTTTTATTTGAACAAACTTGGTAGACACCCACTACAAGATGTTTCATGCTTTATATCAAAGCTCTAGCTATTTTGGTTTTTTAAAAGAAGATTTTTTAAGTGAAATGCATTGAATATTTTGAAACTTTCACATATAATTATCCAAAATTGAATACTGATGCTTGCACACAACACTGAAAGTTTTATCATTAATCATTTGAACACCAACTCTCCACACATAAATGACAGCATACTCAACACTTTACCCGACTTTAACCAACCTTGCCTTGAAGATGTATCACCTTTAAAACTTGCATTTTTCTTTACATGTTAACTCAACTTTTAGCAAATAAAGCTTTTTATCACATACATACCTGTGCCGATTTAGCTACTCCATAAAAATGATATTGCACAGCGGTGCATATATTTTGAAAAGGCATCATTTGCATTATATAAACATAGCATTAAGACACACTAAATGTTAGAATTATACTATAATGATTCTTTTTCACTTTAAATGGTCTTTATTTTTGAATTGTGATAATTAGAATATTAAATTTGTGTAATTTATTTAACTCCTTCAATAAAATAAAATAATATTATGCTTGCCAGAGGCTCGCATAATATAATTCTATTCAACTTGTTCAATAAATTCATTATTAAACTTACACTCATTCAATATCCTGTAATAATATTTAAAAAAATTTACCAGACACCAAACACCGGGAATAAACCATTGTTTTTTCTTCTTCTTCTTCTTGAGATATTGTCCCATACAACACAACATAGTCGAGCTCTGTGTAATAATGTACCAGTTTATGACACAACTCCAGTCGAATCAAGCTATAAATAGTAACATCTCGCTATAAATAGTAACATATCACTATAAATAGTAACAAATGGCTATAAATAGTAACATATCATTGTAAATAGTAACATATCGCTATAAATAGTAACATGTTGCTATAAATAGTAACATATTGCTTTAAATAGTAACATATCGCTATAAATAGTAACATATCGTCACATGATAATTAAACCTATATAAACCTATAAATATCTTAGAATCTAAAAGAATATCAGGGAAATTGATTAAAGCCCTTTGATATCACTATGGTAACTATATAACAAAGCCTTATTGTTAGGAGATGGAGGAAAATCTATTTTTAGCTTAGGTGACCATGACCCTGTCAATGTGCAAAGAACAACTTGGCCATTGTATGCAACATAAAAATAAGCACAGCATAAAAAATACAGACCCATTGAATGTATGCATGATCAATAAATACTTAACAAAGGAAAATAAGTATTTGCAAAGTAAGTATTCAAATAAAATTTCTACATATTTTAATAACGTTGGTGAATTGTTTTTCTAGATATACTTAATTTTCTGTGAATTAAGCCACATATCTCATTTTAGCGTTAAAGAAATTATAGTTGTTGTACAAGACTTACTCTGTGGGAAATGGAGATTTTTCAAGTGATGGGCAGAACATTCTGGAAGTTGGCCCAGCTAAAGTTGGTTCCCCTTCCCATAAAGTCTTCCAGCGTGTTCTGTAAATATCCAATGCATAAACAATGAAATAAAGCCAATTGGACATAAAGCAAATTCACAATGACATATACCTAACTAATTCACAATGAAATATAGTTACCTCACAATTAAATATAGTTAACTCACAATGAAATACAGTTACCTCACAACTAAATATAACTAACTCTCATTGAAATACAGTTACCTCACAATTAAATATAGCTAACTAACATTGAAATATAGCTTACTCACAATGAAATATAGCTAATTTATAATGAAATCTAGTTACCTCACAATGAAACATGAAATACAGCTAACTCACGATGAAATTCAGCAAACTCATATAATGAAATATAGCAACCTCACAATAAAATGTAGTTACCTCACAATGAAATGTAGTAACCTCACAATGAAATACAGCAAACTCACAATGAAATATAGTAAACTCACAATGAAATATAGCTTACTTATAATGAAATATAGAAAACTCAAAATGAAATGAAGTTACTTCACAATGAAATACAGCAAACTCATTATGAAATATAGTAAACTCACTATGAAGTGTATTAACTCACAATGAAATGCAGCAAACTCATAATGAAATATAGCTAACTCATAATGAAAAACAGCAAACTCACAATGAAATATAGCTAACTCACAATGAAATACAGCTAACTCACAATGAAATATAGCTTACTCACAATGGAACACAGCTTACTCAAAATGAAATATAGCTTACTCACAATGGAACACAGCTAACTCACAATGAAATATAGCTTACTCACAATGAAATATAGCTAACTCACAATAAAATATAGCTAACTCACAATGAAATACAGCTTACTCACAATGGAATACACCTTACTCAAAATGAAATATAGCTCACTCAAAAAGAAATATAGCTTACTCACAATGGAATACAGCTAACTCACAATGAAATATAGGTAACTGAGTAACTCACAATGAAATATAGCTAGCTCACAATGAAATACAGGTACAGTGTAACTCACAATGAAATATTGATTACAAAAATTAAACATATAGTTCACTCACAATGAAATACAGGTAACTCACTATGAAATATTGATTACAAAAAAATAAAACATATAACATAATTATAGTTCACTCACAATGAGATACAGCTAATTCACAATGAAATATAGCTCGCTCACAATGAGATATAACTAGCTATCAATGAAATATTGCAAACTGACAATGAAATATAGCCCACTTACAATGAGATATTAGTATCTAACCATAGTGTTAACTTACAGACTATGTCCTGTGTCAACATCGGTGTCCTCAGATCGTTCACAAGCTAAAATTTTCACAACACAGCCTGGGTTGTAGGTTTCATATATCTCTAGCTTTAGAGGATAAATTTTTCTTTGGAATGACAACTCTGTATGAAAAAAAAAGATACCTCTATATGAAGAAAACAGAACAATTTGTATAAGGTGAGTACTTAGTTAGTTCATGCAGTGCTTAAAAGAGAAACCACACAAGAATGTTGTCCAACAAAAATGAAACTGTTGCATATTCATTTAGATAAAGCCAGTTCTTTGATGGCAGTGGGGTCAAATTATAACAGTAATGAATACTTAGGGACCATGCTCCCTAGCACTTGTGTAATTCTACATTTAACAAGACCTTTCTGTGGACAGTGAGCTGCACATTTCTCAGTCCTCGATTGTAAATAAAAGCAAAATCATAATTTTTAAAAAATCAGCCCTTTTGAAATGGCATTCTTTTACAACTTATGTATACCAAGTTCGATGTAAACAGCTAAAATTGTTTCTGAGAAAATGAACCTGAACAAAAAGGTTAACCTACTTACACCAACTCAAATGAGAGTCAACTCAAATGAGAGTTATAACACTTGTACTTTTCGCAGAAAAAAAGTGGAGCTAAAAATAGTAAATCTAATAAGTACATACCAATGCAATAAAAATTTTAAAACATCAGCAGTTCTTAAAAACATTAAAAAAAATTTTTGATGAAAAATGTGAATTAGCACTTAAAAGATATACTATGCTCAAATTTGATTTTTGAAAATATTGATAATTGCTACGCATTCTCTTTGTATGTATAAAATAAACATCTTTCGACTTCATTTAAAGTACATGTAGTTGTGTTATGTTTTGAACTCTAAACACTATAGATGGTCTCAATATGAATATATAGTGTCTTTAAAAAAAAACTGGCAGTTTTTATAAGAAAAGACCAATTTTACTAAGTGACCCATAATATGCATTGTTCATTCATTCTTTTTATTCAAATATCAAACATATTCAGTAAAAATATCATGGATTTCAAAACATTTCTAAGATAAAAGTACTTTTACCCAAAGATGAGCATGGTATATCTATAAGCACTAGTTAGAACAAATGAGCCGTGTCATGACAAAACCAACATAGTGCGTTTGCGACCAGCATGGATCCAGACCAGGCTGCGCATCCGCCAGTCTAATCAGGATCCATGCTGTTCGCTTACAGACCCTATAACAAGTAAAGAAACTGCTAGCGAACAGCATGTATCCTGATCAGACTGTGCGGAAGCGCAGGCTGGTCTGGATCCATGCTGGTCGCAAACCCATTATGTTGGTTTTGTCATGACATGGCTCAAATAAATACCTATATAATCTTGACTACAGAATGATGGTGGTGTTCTCTTGAATGACTTTATACTAGATGGTACTATGTCCCACCATGGACCATACGTTCTCTGTAAAATAAAATCACTCAAACTTCATTTTATGCATTTGAAAGTCATTTCAAAGTAGTATATTTATAATTATAGTCATGTTTCTTAGGGATGGCATAAATTAAGACGAGAAGTCTTGGCTGTAGATTATGTTAATTGCATTAGTAAAGGCAAACATAGAAGTCTAAAATTGTGACTGATACAAGATGAACGTTTTGTTTGTTCGCCCACAAACACAATACAAGTAATATTGGTGCCAAAACAGGAAAGATGATTTTGGCTAACCTCAGACGTTACAAACTTCAAAGCAACACCAAGGGTCAAGACCACCTCACTCCCTGGAGCTAAGAGATGCGTAGACTCCAGTTATTTGAATCCATTTTAAGTCGCCTCTTACAATCATGCAGGGATAAACAGTGACTGCAATTCTTACATCTCAACCATTAAAGGCAACCCCTCAACCACAAGGGGTGAAGATGCGAGACTATTGTATTTGCATATAACAAGACAAATGTGACAGAAGAAATTAAACCAGAGGCTATCAGTCTGAATTGCATAGTGAAAAATTTCAACTTGTGAGTAAATTTAGAGACACTTTTCTTTTTGCACAAATTAAGCATAAGTACAGGAATATGACAAATTTAATAGGATAAATGGGATACTAGAGGCAGCCTTTCTGTCTGAGTAAGAAATGTGCCAATGAAAACAACCGTTTTGTCCTAGCCACAAGGGGGATATTTTAATTGACAGGTTGAAAATACAACTGATTTTAACAGCATTTCAAACAAATGATATGAATTGCCAATCTGTTAAAGGGACTCCACTGAGGTTTTTTGAGATAACGGGACTGGAAATATTTTTTGAGGTTTTTACTCCATTTGATGTAGATCTATACTAATAACATGTGTACAAAATTTCAGATCATTAGCTTGCTCCAGTAATCCAGAATAGTTATTATAATAGTGAAAAATGACCAAAAATTGAAAAGCGTTTAAACGCTTTTCACTCAGATCGGACTGAAATAGCATGCAATGTATTTCTTGTATATTTCTTAACAATATTTTATTTACATTTCTGTTTTAAATGCTCATGTTTAACTATGTGAAAAATTAAAATTTAATGTTTTTAGGCTTATAAACCTTAGTGGAGTAACTGTTCCTTTAATAATGAACACCCTAAAAGACTCAGTTTTCTAAACAAGACATCTGTAGAAGTGTTTAGTGGAAAAAATTAATATGTACATTATATAAATATATCAATCCAGGGCGGGCAAAATCTGATTTTGACATAATTGTCAGTTTTTAATTGAAGCATTAATTTGCTCTCTTGTCTGTATAATATTATAAGCTAAATTCTTGAAAATTTCCACTTGTCTGTACAGGCTGTGGGACATCCTGGGCAAAATGGGACAATTGATTTTGCCGCCCGTGAATAAATTCCCTACTTACAAAAACGCAGGCCTGTGTGAAGTCACCATATGATGGGTAGATGTTTCCCCGGCCAGCTAGGTTACTTGCTGTATAAGATATGCTGGTCTCACTCCCATACTGCGAGCTAAAGTCTGTCACTTCAAGTGCATTGAATATAACAACATCCTTTTCGTTCCCCCCTGATTTAACATACTCGCCAACAGGATCCTTTTTCTCCTTCTTAAAAATTCGGCTGAACATTCTGAAAACATCAAGGAAATCTATGTTATCTAAAATATTCTAGAAATATGTAATTATTTAAAGCTACATTAAATAAATTTCATAAAAACAGAAATAGCGACATTTCATTAATACATTGGGTTTCATATCGACTCCAGATCTTATTATGGTGTCAAGACAACCAAAATGAGTTTTATAAGCATACATATCTGCGACCTCATTGTGGCGAAATCGGAAGTACAATTTCTGTTTGCATAAGAAACTCCGCCTTCGGATTATCCGTACATCAATATTAAATCAACAAACATGGCGATAAGTAGCAGTCCTAATATAACGGTATATTTCCGCATTGTAACGGATGTTTTCATACAAATTTAATATTTTTATGAGATGATTACTCTTTCCTGAACGCCATGCCAAGTGCACCGTGAAGCTAAAACGGTTAAAGTGTGTTTGCACATGAAAATCTCATATTTGCTGTGTTCTGTATAGCAACTATAACACTGTGACGTAGCACATACACGAACTGATTATAGTCTTCATTTGCATGTTAAAATTCGTATACGAACTTTAGTGTTACCGTGGGGTTTTCCGTTTATAATCCTAATTTATGAACAATGTTTGACGAGATTTACAACAATACTGTTAAAAAGGTTAATGAAACTGTATAATGCTTGGTTTTTAGGCCGACTGTAAAATATTTTTTACATATTTATTTAATGCAACTTTAACTACATAATATATTTACTGGTAACTTAGTCCAGCTAATTTAAGACTTGTCAAATAGACATCAAGATAATTTTTCCAAAAGTGTAACATAATATTAAAAAGTTTGACGGTAGAAGAAAAAGAAATCTGTAAAATGGGTCAAATTACTGTATTTACCCCAAATTTATCTAGCAACTGGTGTCTGGTATCGTCACCCAAGAACAATTTATTATAAGTCTTTTGGAATTGGAATAACATTTAAGTCATGTCCAAGCCTCAAACTGAGTGTTTGACACAAACAATAGTCTGTCTATTGTATCCTGCATAACACTTATCCTGAACCTGTTTTAACTCTTTGTCCCTCGCAGCCTGTCCTATATTCTCCACTATGACTGTGGCAGCCTCATAATAATTTCAAACTGCAAGACTGTCCTATTTTACAAACTGATATTACCTAGATGTCTGTCTGGCGGGCATATATAATAAAACGCTGTTATGCACACAGGTTGTTGAGCTTGTTCTCCCCCAAAGTAGGTGTAACTATTTGTACACTGCATTGGAAGAATAGGGAGAGCTTTGTACTCACACAGGGGTTAAAGCAATTTGTTTATTCTTTTGCATGCAAATTCGTATCTACCGCGTTTTAAACTTTGGGAGAGAAATGTCATGGGAGGTGGATTGGTTTGGAGGGAAATTGTCAGGGACATGAATTGGTAAGGAGAAGAATAGTCTGGAAATCTTCTAGTCCACTTATATAAAGTGTGAGAAAAAATCTTAGAAGCAACAAGGGAAAATAATTTGTATGCAACTTTATTTAACAAGAACTAAACAAGCATGCCATTATTTATTATGCAGTGTCTATCAACTGATCAATATAAACAATGTTTACCTTTTTCGAAGGTTCTTGACCCGGAAACGAATCTACTTTGACAGCCGTAACATTCAGGTCTGAGTTTCGAATTTACAAACAAAGAAAAATACACTTAAAACTTATTTGAATATTATTTTAAGTGTTAATTATTGAAATAATCCCACTCATAGCTTAAGATAGAGTTATAAGTAAAATAATAAATTTTAAAGCATTATACTATAATACGCGAAAGCTAGCTTTACATCTAAAGTGAAAGTAGAAATTAATACGAGCATCCTACTTAGTGACCTCTCTAATTTTAACCGATAACGCATTTTTTACGAGAGGAGGTTTAAAGATAGCCTAGTAAACGTTAAATACTAGGTCTATAGATGCACAACTAACATTGTGTGCGGGTTGTCATCCAGTGAATATTCTATTTTAAGCATTTACAATCTAAGTGCTAATTCTTGAACTGTTGACAGTGTTCACACTGTCTGGTCAAGTGACAGTAGTCCGGTTTTTCTATGCACCGGTCCTTGCGGATGCAAATTGTTTAGCTGATCTTTTTATTATAAGAATAAACCTTTAAAATGACAGAATACAGTGTCAGAGATGGGGTAGCAATTATCAAACTGGATAATCCACCAGTAAATGCTTTGGGGTAAGACTTTGATTTTTAAATTTTTAAAAAGTTATTCGAACTGGCATATAATTATAGGTTAAAGACCTTTCTGTTAGTACTTCATACACTCCAACGAGGTGGTGCGATAGCTTAGTTGGTTAGACCTCTGACTGTCACTCCTGAGGTTCCAGGTTCGATCCTGGGTAACACCCTTGGGGTTTTGCAGAAACACTTTCAGTGTTTCCCACCTATATAACTAGAGGTTTAGTGGTATGAAACCCAGGTAATCCTCACATGTATCAGTGCTATACACTGGACATGTAAAAGAACCAAAGAATCTATTCAATAACAGCTAGGGACTGGTTCCCGGATTTCTTTGTATCTCATAGCTGTCTCTAGTGTCTGCTGAGGTAAGGACCATACTGGAAACAAGTGCTTGCACTTTTGTAGGTTATCCTTGACCGCCTGGTCTAAAGAAAATCAATCAAACAACATCTTATCGACTCCATCATAAATTCCTTTAGCAAAACCCGCAGCAATTTTGAAGTGCTACATAAACAGTCTCTATATAAGCTTATTGAAACACTCAAACCAATCAGTATTAAGCAATGTAAAGTTTCTTGCTCACAGAAACAATTTATGTCTTGGCCATGACAATGAACCAACAATCCTCAGATAACTAGTCTGACACGTTGACCACTCAGCCAATTGCCACCATTCTCTTGATTGGATTCTGAAGCTTTGTATTGTAGGTTATGTAGACAGGGAAAGCTGCTTTCGTGCCTTACTTTGCGGATGGACCCTCATTTAACATAGACTACATACACAAAATATGTTAATTTGTTAGTTTTACAAAATGAAAACAAATTTTTTTATGTTATACAGAAGTAAGGTCCGCTCTGGTTTAGACAAGCATTTAAAGCAAGCAAATCATGACAGTGAAGTGACTGCAGTCGTCATTGTTGGAAAGGGAGGCAAATTCTGTGCTGGAGCTGATATTAAAGAATTTGGTGGTGGAGCGAAAGGTTTGATAAGAACATATTATATTATAGACCCCTTTCTCCTCAGAAATGCTTTTATTTTTATGTCTCAGAAGTTTTATTTTTGGTTTACACAGAATTTGTTTTAGTTCAATTGTGTAGGAAGCTATAAGCTTACAGACACACTTTCGAATCCATTCCTGGAATCAACCAGTACTGAACAAGAAGTGTTCAGTTTCTTGCTCAAGGAAACAACGGCTTCCCCCCGACGAGGTTTTGAACCTGCATGGCTAGCGATCCATAGATTACTAGTCCCGAGGTGTTAACCATTCAGCCATTCAGATACTCATGTTTTATTTTTTGGTGTCCTGTTATGAATTCAAAGTAGTAAACCCTTAAAATGCTGGAATCGAAAGTCTTAAGCCTTTGCCACCAGCATAGAGCCAGGCCAGCCTGCACATCCTTGCAATCTGACCAGGCTCTATACTGTTGGCTGACAAACTTTACATATACAAATTGTTATCCCTAAAATTGATAATGGAAAGTCCCAAAAAATGGAAGTGGGACAAGTCCATTTACAATATTCAGCATGTTAAGGGTTAATTATTGGCCAATTATCTGAGCTATCTGTTGTTGATGTTTAGCAATTCGTAGAGTTATAGTGATTTAAGATTTTGTATTGAAGTCAAAATATTACTTTATTTATATTTAGCTACCTTTATGACAAATATCAAGCTCAGCACTATTTATTTTCAGATCATATGCATGTTACATGCTCTAAAACCATCATTTAGAGCTGAGGTTATGCAATTAATGTTCACCCTTTTTAAAGAAAGTAAAATATTTGTTTCTGTAGAATAATGTGCCTTTAACGTTGAAATTTTATTATTTGATAAAACCATGAATAATTGATATATCAGTTACCTAAGACCATAAATGACAGATGTATTTATTTCTTAAAACCATGAATAAAAGTTATATTTATTTCCTAAGACCATGAAATACAGATATATTTATTTCCTAAGATCATGAATAACAGATATATTCATTTCTTAAAACCATGTCAGTAACCTATATATATTTATTTCATAGAACCATAAATAACAGATTTATTTATTTGATAAGTCCATCGATAACAGATATGTTTATTTCCTAAGACCATAAATAACAGATATGTTTATTCCTTAAAACCATGTTCATTTCCTAAGAACAGATATATTTATTTCCTAAGACCATGGGTAACAAATGTATTTATTTGATAAGACCATGAATTACAGATATATTTATTTATTTTAAACAAAAATTAACAGATTTATTTATTTGATAAGATAATAAGACCATGGATAACTATTTTTATTTCCTAAGACCATGGTTAACATATACAAATGTATATTTATATCATAGGACCATGGATCACAGATATAGGTGATTATTGTGACAAGATGAGGAAGCCTGTAGTAGCTGCCATAGAGGGTATGGCACTGGGTGGTGGCCTGGAGGTTGCATTATTCTGCCATTATAGAATTGCTGTGAAAACTGCAAGGTAACGAACCTGGGACCTCACTCATTAAAGGAGCATGCCTCCAGATCATTGCTTATCTTCATGAAAATTTGAAAAACGTTTCTAAAAGTAGAATATTGTAAAATGTAACAGTTCATTTACACATTGCAAAGGGCACTTAAAATTCACATAAATTACCAAAAAGAGGTCAAAATATGCAAAAATACCCCTAACTCTGTTAGTCATAAAGTAGAAATACAGTGAAAAATACTGCAAAATCAGTCATTAATCACACATAGCATGTTAAATATATTTTGAATTTTTACTTTTCTTGTAGTGTTAGTACATTTTTGTGTCGCCTCTACGGAGTAGTGGCGACATATAGGGATCACTTCTCCGTTGTCTGTCTGTCCGTCTGTCTGTCTGTCTGTCCGTGCGTCCGTCACAAAACTTGTCCGGACTACTCCTCATAAACTACTGGTGCAATTTCATCCAAACTTTACAGGAATGATCAGTACCAAGTCTAGTTGTGCATATTGTCAGCATTTTCCGGTTCAATGATTTTTGTCAGAGTTATGGCCCTTTAATAATTTTTAATTTTAAAGTTTGTCCGGACTACTTCTCTTATACCACTAATGCAATTTCAATGAAACTTTACAGGATTGATCTGTAGCTCAAGTCCTTGCGCATATTGCACGGGTTTTCAGGTTGAATGATTTTTGGCCGAGTTATGGCCCTTTGATAAAAAGGTTTCTTTTTCTGTGTGTTGCCAGATACACAAAAGCTTGTCCGGACTACTTCTCATAAACTACTGGTGCAATTCCATCCAAACTTTACAGGAATGATCAGTACCAAGTCTAGTTGTGCATATTGTCAGCATTTTCCGGTTCAATGATTTTTGTCAGAGTTATGGCCCTTTAATAATTTTTATTTTTAAAGTTTGTCCGGACTACTTCTCTTATACCACTCATGCAATTTCAATGAAACTTTACAGGATTGATCTGTAGCTCAAGTTCTTGCGCATATTGCACGGGTTTTCCGGTTGAATGATTTTTGGCCGAGTTATGGCCCTTTGATAAAAAGGTGTTTTTTTCTGTGTGTTGCCAGATACACAAAAGCTTGTCCGGACTACTACTCATAAACTACTGGTGCAATTTTATCCAAACTTTACAGGAATGATCAGTACCAAGTCTAGTTGTGCACTGTCCGTCTGTCTGTCTGTCTGTCACAAAATTTGTCCCAACATGAAATTTGCCTTCATGAGGCGACACATGTGATTACTGATCGCTCTTGTTGTAAAGTTTGATTTTCTTGAAATATTTTGGCTCATCTGGAGGCATGCAGCTTTAAGATAGCCTAAAATATAATGACACCACACTGCAATGTACTGTATGCATCTCTGTTTAACTTGGTTTACCATAACAGATTATATAATTTTATGAATGACGTCATTCCCTCGCGCCTATTATAATGAATTGTGTTCTTAGAAAGACATCATTTTGCTGTTATGAAAGAAGATGAAAATTCATACGTTACTGTAAGAAAAATGTACTTTATGAAAATATTCGTTTTCATAATTTCTTTCCAAAATCTGATTTATATGTAATATGCAAGAAATAGAATCAAACACTGGCTATCTTAACAGACAGTATTATCAAGCTTTTGTTAAGCAAAAACTTGACAGAGCCTCAAGCTGCAGCTGTAAACTGTTACCCTCGAGGAAAGTATTCCGGTCTGTGCCGGCAGTTGGTGTAAGATCATGATATTCTCATACTGTCAGGAAAGAACTTAATACATTAAAAAGTTGAGATATTATCATAATTACAGGGTTGGTCAGCCTGAGGTTCAGATAGGCTTGATACCAGGAGGAGGTGGTACTATCAGGTTACCGAAGGCCGCGGGTCTGAAGAATGCTCTAGACATTATCACCACTGGTAACCATGTACCGGCAGAAAAAGCTCTAAAGATGGGGATAATAGATCAGGTTATTTTATTCACAATATGATCATGTGGTTTTCTAAAGACCTGACCAAACAATTTTCTCAAAAATTAGGAAAATATTTTGAAAAAGGATTGGTTCAAATGCAGCTTGTTCAGTTTTATGAAATTACTGATATGTTAATATTATTTCTGTTAGAAATTACTGATATGTAAATATTATTATACCCCCAAAAACGAAGTTTGGGGGGGTATATAGGAGTCACCCGGTGGTCGGTCGGTTGGTCGGTCGGTTGGTCTGTCGGTCGGTCCAGCGGTCTGTTGCATTTTCCTTGTCCGGAGCATAACTTGAAGACTAATGGTTGGAATTCAATATAACTTCATACAATGGTCAAGCACATTGAGAGGAAGTGCAGTGCACAAGAACCATAACTCCATCTTGACTAATTTCAGAGTTATTGCCCTTTGTTACTTTTCCTTGTCTGGAGCATAACTTGAAAACTACTGGTTGGAATTCAATACAACTTCATGCAGTTGTCAAGCACATTGAGAGGAAATGCAGTGCACAAGAATTATAACTCCATTTGACAAATTACAGAGTCATTGCCCTTTGATACTTTTCCTTGTCTGGAGCATAACTTAAAACATACTTGTTGGAATTTAAAACAACTTCATACAATGGTCAAGCACAATAAGAGAAAGTGCAGTGCACAAGAACCATAACTCCATTTTGAATAATTACAGAGTTACTGCCCCTTGTTACTTTTCCTTGTCCAGAGCATAACTTGAAAACTACTAGTTTGAATTCAAAACTATTTCATACTATGGTCAAGTATATTGAGAGGAAGTGCAGTGCACAGAAAGCATAACTCTTTTTGACTAATTTAAAAGTTGTTGCCCTTTGTTACTTTTTATTGTCCAGTGCATAACTTGAAAATTAATGGTTGGAATTCAATGAAACTTTATACAATGGTCAAGGGCAGTGAGATAAAGTGCAGTGCACAAGAACAATAACTCTATTTGGACTAATTACAGTTATTGCTTTTGTTACTTTTTTGTCCAGTGCATAACTTGAAAACTAGTAGATGGAATTCAATACAACTTCATACAATGGTCAAGTGCAATAAGAGGAAGTGCAGTGTACAATAGCCATAACTCAATCTTCAGTATTTATAGAGTTATTGCCCTTTGTTCCTTTTCCTTGTCTTTCTGGACTTCTTACAGAGTAATCCAATAAAACTTCATCAATGGCCAACCACATTCAAAGGAAATGCAACATACAAGAACCACAACTATCTGTAATTGCCCACAACCATAACTCTGTTTCAATTCTTTACAAGGTATTCTGTTACTAGTAACATCCTCATTTCCGAAGCAGTCTTGTGGGGGGTATTAATCACATTTAGTGATAGTTCTAGTTTCTGTTAGAAATTACTGACTGATATGTTAATATCATTTCTGTTAGAAATTACTGATATGTAAATATCATTTCAGTTAGAAATTACTGATATATAAATATTAATTCAGTTTGAAATTGATATGTAAATATCATTTCAGTTTGAAATTACTGATATGTAAATATTAATTCAGTTTGAAATTACTGATTATTTCAGATTGAAATTACTGATATGTGATTACTATTTCAGATTGAAATTACTGATATGTAAATGTTAATTCAGTTTAGAATTACTGATTATTTCAGATTGAAATTACTACGATGTAAATATCACTTCAGTTTGAAATTACTGATTATTTCAGATTGAGATTACTGATATGTCAATATTATTTCAGTTTGAAATTACTGATATGTCAATATTATTTCAGGTTGAAATTACTGAGATGTAAATATTATTTCAGATTGAAATTACTGAGATGATATATAAATATCATTTCAGATTGTATCTGGAGATATCATAGAGGAAGGAATCAAATTTGCAAAGTCCAAGATCCACATAGATACAAGCATTGTTTGCTTGCGGAACAAACATGTGAAAGTTGATGGTGATGTAGATAAAGTGGCAGAAGGTAAGAGTTCCTTCCCTTTTATTTCAATTAACATTTGCTATTGCTCCTTTAATCAGAATTTATTTTGTTGTTGTTGTTGTTTTTATTTCCTATATAGCATACAAATTAATTGAATAGTTTCTGCATACAAAATATTTGGACAATTTCTGCGTAAAAGTATTTTGCATAATTTCTGCATAAAAATTTATCAGTTATTGCATAATTTCTGCATATTTTGATTTTTTCCATCATTATTGCATAAAAAGGAATTGCATAATTTGTGTATAAAAAGGTACAGGTATTGCATTATACTTCTTTATGAAAAGTTTTCTCTCTTTCTACATAAAATACATTGTTGTTTTGTTTTTTTCATAAAGATCATAAAAGTTATATCATATTTTCTGAAAAATGAAAGAATTAAATACTTGTCATATCCAAGATTTTTTTTGCCTCACCCTATTTCTGTAGGAGAAAATTAATAACAGATTATTTCTTATGAGTTTATTATCGTATCCTGCAATTTTTTCTAAGTTAAGAAGATTGTTAAAATTAATCCGAGAATGATATTGTAATTGTAAGTAGGTAGCATGCTGGTATTGTTTCTATTTTTAGCCGCTATGACGAAAGTGAAGTCAAAGTACCGAGGAGCCATTGCACCGATCGTGAGTTATTAACTTTGTCTTTGTCTTCTTACAGTCATTCACCCACTTCATTTGTTCGATATGTACCTAATCCTTGCATTACATGTAATTAGAGCTGTCATTGATTCAGTGCAAAGCATATCAACGATATATTGATATTGGATGACAAATATCAACGATACACCGATATACGATAATTACCTATAATTACTTGTCTGTCATTCACTTTCATACAGTAAATGACTTCTGAGTTATAAACATGTTCTTTTCAGCGTCTTGTTTATAAAAGCACATTGCATGACTTTTTTCCAGACCATTCTATTTTTGTCATGATTGCTGTAAAAATATTTCCACTATATTACTACTGCGTAATGTTAAATATGTACACTTGCTTCTGTATATGTTTTGGGTGAAATTTTCATAATTTTTTAGACATTTATTTAATTAGTCAAAATTATCGATTTTTTGAAATGTGTATCAGTTATTGATCGACAGAACAATATCAACGATACATCAATATTGTTTCTATCAATGACAGCTCTATAATTATGTAATCTATAGTTTCCACTGATGTGATTGAATTATCGTCCTGTCTCTCACCTCTGATTCACAAATTGTGTAGTCGTTCACAAATTGTGTAGTCATTCACAAATTGTGTAGTCATTCACAAATTGTTTAGTCGTTCACAAATTGTGTAGTCGTTCACAAATTGTGTAGTCATTACTGGTTAGTTATCCAGGAAAGCCAGTATGGCTGACTGACTGCCAAGATTTTACAAAAATACATAATGTAATATTGATATCAGCGTGAAAACAGAATGATTAGGAAACAAAAATTTTCGTCACCTTAGTGCAAGAACTGGTTAACTCCTTATATGATTTAATAGCAGTTAACCCGTTACTGCACTTATGTGACAAAATAGACAAATATTTAGACTTCCCCACAAATGCAAGATATTTATTTTGCATTTTTTTTAGAACAAAAACTGACCGCCTCCGTGGTCGAGAGGTTAGAGTCGATGACTTCTAACCCAGTTACCTCTCTGGCGAGGGTTCGATCCCCGGGAGATGCTTTGGTAGTTTAGCGCGGAGGAAGGTAGCCTAGTACTGGTGTAACTCTCCATGATGGTTAGGAAACTACCCGCCTATATGACTGAAATACTGTTGGAAAAAGGCGTAAAATGAAACAAACAAACAAACAAACAAGAACAAAAACTATCGGCCAACTTTTAAAATGTCATGTTTGTAAAAAAAATTATTGCAAGCCAATTTTCTATATAAATTGCCTCTCGGAGAACAGCAGACCCGCTGCTAAATGTTTTTTCTCTCCTTTGATAATAATGTCATTAAATGTGCAACATTTATATTCTGTGATATAATGTTGATGTGAGCTCATTTTCCTGCTTTTATAATGGTAATTTTATTATCTAAAACACTTCTTCTGCAAAAATTTTCTAGACAAAGGTCAAGGTCATTTTAATGCTGTCAATTTCCAATGTCAAGTTTAAAAATAATTTTCTACGCTTGTGCTTTTTTCTTTATAAAAGCAGTGTGGTGACATGTCTTGAATTACAAATGAGCTTTTTTTTTATTATAATCATAATTTATTTTTTTACCTCGAGTGATTTTATTTTACCTCAAGTGATTTTAATTTGCAGGAAAAAGATTAAAATCATGTAATTTAACAGCATGGTCTGCCCTGAATATATTTAATGAAAACTAAAATGTGGTTTTAGTCACGTAAGCAAGAATTTCATAAAATGCCAATATAAATGTGGTCTTTATTTTATGTTTGTGTTTACTTTACATTTGTATATGTGACCATAATAGTAATATATCAATTTTTTATCACATAGTACTTTCCATAATTTGTTTATACAAATTTTATACAAAACATTAAGCATGTACATATTCACATATCTGCTACATTGAACTCCCCACTCCTTTAAAGTCACCCCACCCTCCTGCCTGCACTGCCCCCCCACTCCTTTAAACTCACCCCACCCCCTGCCTGCACCGCCCCTGGATCAACCCCTATGCCTCGAATTTCAGATTGTTTAGTCTTTTGAATGAGACCTTGACAAAAAATTCATCCTTGATTGTACTTGACATCTATCTATACATGCATACATTCAAATCAAGCAGTTGATAGTTTGGGAATGAAAATACTTGTTTAGTTGCAATTTCATCCTAATTCATAAATTGATATAAATATATATACACATATTATTAGTACTCACAATAAGAAGGATTCACCTATATCGTTTTGAAGTTTTGAAAATGATAATTTGGATTTTTTTCTGTCTTACTATTTATAAAAATTATCGAAAAAATATCTCTCACAGCATGTATTTAGCTGATGAAAATCTTTGTGATATTAAGGCAAAAAGTATTTTCCTTCAAAAGTGCAACAAAAGATTAAAGAGTTCTTTTTGATATATTTCAGTTTTGTGTAAGATCTGTGATGAATTCTGCTAGGTTGCCGTATCAGAGAGGGATCGATCTAGAACATGAATATTTCCGAGACCTTCAGACTTCTAGCCAGTCACAGGCTATGAGATATGCCTTCTTTGCTGAACGGGCCATCACCAAGGTAATTCCTTATATTAATACAGTATTTTCTCCATTCAATATCTAATTATGATTTGTAAAAATCTTGGAAGAATTTTGTTGGTCATACTGTATGGGTGTTTGATGTTTGTCCTGTCAGCAGTTGATCTTGGTCATATGAGTTTTTATGTTTGTCTTGTCAGCATTTGATCTTGGTCATATGAGTGTTTGATTTTTGTGTTGTCAGCATTCAATCTTGGTCATAGGAGAGTTTGATTTTTGTTTTCATATGAGTGTTTGATGTTTGTTTTGTCAGCATTGGATCTTGGTCATAGGAGAGTTTGATTTTTGTCTTGTCAGCATTTAATCTTGGTCATATGAGTGTTTGATGTTTGTCTTTTTAGCATTTAATCTTGGTCATAGGAGAGTTTGATTTTTGTCTTGTGAGAATTTAATCTTGGTCATATGAGTGTTTGATGTTTGTGTTGTCAGCATTTGATCTTGGTCATAGGAAAATTTGATGTTTGTGTTGTCAGCATTTGATCTTGGCCATATTAATGATTTATCTTGGTGATAAGAACATTTAAACTTGATTATATATGTTTTTGATACAGAACATGCACACTTATATGAGTGTTTGAATCTAGTGATGTGTTCAATCTTCATCATATGAGTGTTTGATCTTGGTCATATGAGTGTTTGATCTTGGTCATAAGAATGTTTGATCTTGTTCATATGAATATTAAATCTTGGTTATATGAGTGTTTGATTTTGGTTATATGAGTATTTGATCTTGGTAATATGAGTGTTTGATTTGGTTATATGTGTGTGTTTGATCTTGGTCATTTGAGTGTTTGATCTTGGTCATATGAGTGTTTGATTTTGGTTATATGAGTGTTTGATCTTGGTAATAATTATGAGTGTTTGATCTGGTTATATGTGTGTTTGATCTTGGTTATATGAGTGTTTGATCATGGTTATATGAGTGTTTGATCTTGGTTATATGAGTGTTTGATTTTGGTTCTATGAATGTTTGATATTGGTCATATGAGTGTTTGATTTCGGTTATATTTGTGTTTTATTTTGGTGAAATGAGTGTTTGATTTTGGTTATATGAGTGTTTGATCTTGGTTATATGAGTGTTTGATCTTGGTATTATGAATATTTGATCTTGGTTAAATTAGTGTTTGATCTTTGTTCTATGAGTGTTTGATTGGGTATATGAGTCTACTGAACATTGCTTGTCTGAAGAAAGAGGTTATATGGTAGTAATTTTATTAGAATTCTTTTCTGGTTGCTGGAATAAATACAACCAAGCATAGATACATAGAGTAGGAAGCTTGGTAAAAACTCTCTTTATATGTTTTATTATATAATGTTTGGGCAATGTGTATTGCTTAAGGATGTTATGGATCTCTCTTCCCTTTTCATCATGGTGACTGGGTACGGAGATATTGCCCTTTCATGGGATGGTTTAGTACTGGTATGTATAGTTTTTCCTTATATAGGAATGGCATTGTAATTAACACGTTTTTTTTACCTGTTATCCTGGAGGTCTGTCCGTTGACCATCCTGAATAAATGACAGAGTAAACATACTGTGTACAAAAGTGCATAAGTTAGAATAAATAAGTTAAAGGGACTCCACTGATTTCTTCTGACATGACAGGACTTTAAATAATTTTTTCAGTATTTATATTCCATTTGATGTAGGTGTAGACCAATAACGTAATTGTGCAAAATTTCAGATCATTTGCTCACTAGAAAAATTACTCTAATTGTGAAAAATAACCCAAAATTGAAAAGCATGCAAGTTGGACTAAGAATAGCACAAAAAATTCATTTTCAATTTATTACAGAGTAAATTTCTTATTATCATTTGAGCCGCGTCACAACATAACCAAAATAATGGGTTTGCGACCAGCATGGATCCAGACCAGCTTGTGCATTCCGCGCAGTCTGATCAGGATCCATGCTGTTCGCTTGCAAACCCTATAACAAGTAGAGAAACTGATAGCAAACAGTATGGATCCTGATCAGACTGCGCGGATGCCCAAGCTGGTCTGGATCCATGCTGGTCGCAAACCCATTATGTTGGTTTTGTCGTGACGCAGCTCATTTGTGTATCTTTCTGTTTTAAGTTCCCAAACTGATCTCTATAAGAAATTCAAATCTTATGATTTTATCGCTTTTGAATCTCTGTGATGTTGTTTTAAAATATTGCAATTAATTGTTACCTGATATATGGCAAGCATGAAGATTTTCAACTTTCTTAATAGAAAAAAAAAAAATAATAAAATTAAACAAATTAAAAATCATATTTAATCATTATTTGATCATCTGTATAATCAAGAAATTGGATACATGGCTTGTTTGGTTAGGATTGTGTCCAAATATTTTTCTATCTTATTCAGAATATTGTTGAATAAGCTGATATTTCATTAAAATTTGTTTCTTTATACAGCTATGACAACAAGTTGAGCATGCAAATCGGTTTATGAAAACACAGCAGCAATAATAGGCAAATCTTGCAGTTTCAAATATTGCGTGTAGTTTTTGTTTTATTTTTGAATTTTGATTTATTTTGCAGTGGCAGTTACCTTCAGGTGGAAACTACAGGACGAAGCCATTGCCTGTTAGATCAGCCGGCGTGATCGGTGCCGGAACGATGGGTGGCGGCATTGCTCTCTGTCTCGTCACATCTGGTATCCCATGTATCCTTGTTGAACAAAGCAAAGAGGTATGGGAAACAGACAATAGTCCTCCCGGACAAAAGCCCTCCCGTCAAAAAATGACTTTTGTGTTTGTTAAGCCACACATTTAGATAAAACTATTCAAGTCAAGTCAATTGATTTGGCCATCAGCCCAAAATACATATCATACAAAATGTAATATTTAACATTTTAAGGTTGTGTCGTAAGCAACTAAATAAACTTTTTACCCAAAATTTTTATTGATCTTTCCATCTTATTCTTAAACGTATATATATGTATATTAGTGTAAGAAACATGGACCGGTTAGTAGGACCCTAACGGTCTATGTCTAGGAACAGTAAGTTTTATATACCAAAATGTTTACAATGTTTCACAGAATACAAAACGGTATTTAGTTTTTACCCAAATTGTCGGATTATCAAGAAATCCAAGATGGCAGCAAGATGGCCGTCAAAATTCCGCAAAAGCATTAATTATCATTATTTGGACGCCATCTTGGATTTCTTGATTATCCGACCATTTGGGTTAAAATGAAATACCGTTTCGTATTTTGCCAACCCTTGTGAACATTTTGGTATACATGTATAAAACTTTTATTTACCTAGACATAGACTGGTTGACCCCCAAAATATGCATGATTTACTATGCCCCCAAAATATGCATTTCATTTCCTACACAAATTTATCACTAGCAAAATAAACTATAAAAAATTGATATAAAATGTTTAAAATTCTTAACTTAAACAAACACAGTAAAAGTTGAAACATCTCCCACACCTACTGGCACTGGCTGAGTCAGTAAAAACAGTAATCAATTTTCAACATTGTGAATTATTTGAATGAATTTCATGAAATTAAAACCCGAAATATTTTTAAGTTTTTAGATAAAGGCATGGAAATAATCAAGACGCAGTTAATGGGAACAGTACGGCTTGGAAAAATGACAGCAGATCAGGCGAAACAATGCATGGGCATATTAAGATCGAGTGTTAATATTGATGACCTGAAAGATGTAGATTTGGTAAGTGGAATATTTATGGGGTATGATGTCATTGGTGAACCTCCATTTTACACTTTTGCAATTATGTAAATAAAGTGAGAAATGATCCGGAAACAATGATGTGATATTCTGTTTCACTGAAGTTTCATGATTCAGAAAGGCATGCAGCTTTAAATTTTGAATAAAGAAAACATGACGGTGCTTACAGTTGATCTTTAATGTTATAAAGTGTGTAGTTCTTACAAGAAAAAGCTGTTCACATAAAGAAGTCTTAAGATGTTCTTTCCCGTCCATCCCTGTCCTAAGACTGTGAACGGGAAAGAATGTTTCCTGTTAGAAATGTCATATCCAGTATTCCATAGTGACAAAGCATTTTCCTTTTACAAGAAAAAGAACAAAATTGTTCATCTAACTTTAAAAAAAAACAACAACAGAATATAATACTTGTTTATTTTTATATTGATTGTAATTTTTAGACTTTTAAGTAATAGTTTGACTTTTTCAGGTGATAGAGGCTGTTTTTGAAGACCTTAAGTTAAAGAGGGAAATCTTTGAGAAGTTGGACAGAATATGTAAACCTTCCACCATATTGTGTACAAACACTTCTACACTAGATATAGACTCTGTATGTATAAATATTTTGTGATACTATTTATACTGAATCATTTATGCCCTCATTATGTATGTGTGCGCCTGCCGCCTGCATGCGTGTACTTACTTGCGTAAGTGTGTGTGTTGTGTGTGTGTTTTTGTACTGTTTTTGTTTTATTGACGGTTTTGAGGCCCGCGTGGAAGATTTGGTAACCAAATGTATTGCCTTAATAATTAAAGATTTACTAACTTACTTACTTACTTACTCATGCTTTACATAACAGGATTTTAGTATTTCATAACCTTGGAGAAATTTCATAACAATTGTTGCCGGGCTCTGAAATGCAACTTGTACTTTTCTTTTTTCTGTACTATTAACTGCTACTTCTCTACGCTTATAGAGTGACAAAGAGTATAGTTTTGGCATTTATATAACATTGATAACATTATGTAATATGACAATATTTTATACATTTTCTATTGTTGAGATTTTGTTGTCAAATCATATGATAATGACTAAAAGATCACAAACAATCACAGTTTATCATAACATGTTCTTCTTTAATAGTTTCATCAGTTGATATGATCAATAGCAAAGTTTATTACGTACCAAACAGATGCCTATGAAAAAAGACGCCACATTTAATGTAATTGTATAAACAAAATGTTACTAAATAAAATACATTGTCTTTTAAATACTTTTTTATACAATGGGACAAATAGATCAAATTCAAAGCAATTTGAAATATCAATACATGTTTTGCTTTATTAGCTTTGTCATTTGATACATAAAGGAAAACATGTAAACATTTATACGGTGCGTCCGAGGCTGAGTGGTTAAGGTCATTGACTTCAAACCACTTGCCCCTCATTGATGTTGGTTTGAATCCAGACAGCGACTTTGGATTCTTTCATGTGAGGAAGCTATCTTACAGAACGTTGGTGGTTCTACTCAGGTTCCCGTTTGTGCCTGAAATAATGTACGGAAGGGCATTTGAGGTCTTCTTCCACCTGTAAAGCTGGAACTTCGCCATACGATCTATAATGTGTCAGTGTGACGTAAAACCCAATTAAACAACAAACAAACAAAATGTTTATACAATAAAATATGTACATGTGTACTGTATATATAGACTTAATTTATATTAACAAGCACATACAATTTTCAAAAGATTTACATAAAATAACTGGATCACAAGTATGTCAAAGCATACCAAATATGGAACTTGATGGAGTCTACTGAAGAAGAAATATGAATTTAAAAAAAAA